TGTTATTGACGTGTCTAATGCGCAACCAGATACATTTGAATAGCTGTCATTTTTTAAAGCCAATATTTGAACGTCCTTTTTGAGTGCCCTAGTGCACACTTGGCTGTTGTCCTGACCATGTGCACCCACCACTGTCCCCTCTTCTTCCACCTGCCTTCCCCTGTTGTAGCTCTTGGCCGCCCTGCTGGTCTCCTCTGTCCCCTTCTAACTTGGGCTTTTCTTGTTGTCAGAAGATACAAAAAATGACAGTCTGAACACTAGGTTTAACTCTTTGTTCCCGTTATTTAGTACAATCTATAGTTGTCTCCTATGGGACACCACATGCTTTAAGAGTCGAGACTTGCACCAAGGACAATTTCTTCACTTCAGACGCTCATTTCCCATGCCTAGATAGCGGTCTTACTATTATCTCGTCCTTGATAAACGGTGGGATGTTTGAAACTGTGACCTTAACTGCCGGTGGGCTGAGAGGAAGGGCGTGTCAAAAACCACAACCCCATTCTCGACCAGGGGGTCACTTTATTTATACTGTCTAAGAAAGTGACCAGAGCATTGTTCATCCTACCAGCGGACTTCACGCTGCTGTGACCGACTAGCTCTCCCACTGCCAGGCTGCAGTCGTCCGCTGAACACTGCCATCTTCACGCCGTGTTTCCTGGCCAGCTTGTGCAGATCCATGCTGGCACACACGCTGCCCGACTGCATCAAACCGCTAAATGTGCACCCGACACACCACAACACACTCCAGAAAAATGATCAAAACAGGTGTGGGGGGGGGCAAGCAAGGGGTTTCATCATGTTGGTCTGTTGACAGAAAGCATAGCTGCGTCATGTGACTCCCCTAATCAGGTCATAGGAGCAGCTGTGTGAGTATCCACGGTAACGGCCCAACTGAAAGGGCAGAGACGGACAGCGAGTTAAGGCTGGCGCCTGCGTCGTTGCGTCGACGCACTCGTTTCAATTCATGGTTCTGTGTGTGTTGCCGAGCAATTCACCTCCAGAACAACAGGCGGAGTGACGTGTTTTGTTGAAGACGACCTAGAGTCACGTCCAGGGCTGTAGTGGAGGGTAAACGCCGTTTACGCACCTCTAGAGTTTTGGAATTAGCCTTTACGCACCTATAAATTACGCACCTCAAAGTTCCCTGCGCCTTGTATTCTTCCGTTGGAATAATCCGAAATAAACTTGGTGTAATTTTAAAACAGCTAAGACTACGTTTCCTATTGTTGAACATATAAACGCCGTAGTCTGAATCATGTTCATCTGCGCTGTATTACGGTCTGTGAGCATCCAATCAGTGCCTTGCGGCTGCAGCAGCGACCAATCAGGATCCAGGAGGTGTGTAAACACATACACGTTGTGGATCAGCCCAGTGGTCCCCAACCTTTTTTACCACACGGACCGGTTTCATGTCAGACAATATTTCGCAGACCGGTCGAGAAGGTCCGACGGGGGGGGGGGGGGGGAGTAGTCTTTTCGGGCGGGACCACCCACGGGGGGGGGAGTACTCCCGCCGTCTGTGTTTCCCCGTCCTGCACGGGACACGGACAAGAAAAACGCCCGGGGACGCGGAGAATAGAAAAAAAGACGCACGCCTCCCGCAGCGCACCAGGCTGCGATTGTCCGCTAACTACGTCCTTTACGGAGTCTCACATTTCCGCTTTCATAGCCAGATACCTCCATTATTAAAAGGAAGGATGTTTACGAGAGAACGGATCAGATTTAAGAGCTTTTGTCGGAAGAAATGCGTAAATATGACCGCTTCTACAAGCCGTCATCGGCGGGTTGGATTCACGGAGGGAGATAACGCCGGTTTGCCGGTCGAGAGGAACAAAGTTGTGGAGGAAAATACGGGACAAATGTGTCCGCGATGAAAAGCAGCAGTGTCGATGCACGGGGCAATAAAGTCTATGATAAATAAATGAACAAATAAATAAATAGACGTGACTCTCTAGGTCGTCTTCAACAAAAAGACGTCACTCCGCCTGTTGTTCTGGAGGTGAATTGCTCTGCAACACACGCAGAACCATGAATTGAAACGAGTGCGTCGACGCAACGACGCAGACGCAGAAGCACGCGCCGGCCTGAACTGTCAAAAAGAACAACAGCGAGCGCGTAGAAAACACCTTCGGGTGCGAGCAGAGACTAACCTAAATATCCACATCTATATGCAGAGTAGAGCTTTTCGCTTTGGCTATTGGTCAGACAGGCACTGTGGATGTTGCTACTATCGGACACACAGCCGTCACTCTCACTGCCATCAGACTGCCCCCCACCTGTCTCCTCTTCCTCCCCAACCTTGATGGCTTTGGCCTCGCCTCTTTTTTTTCCCTTTTGGTTCCCCTATTTCCTCCTCCACCATCTCAACCTCTTCCACCTGCTCCACCTGCCCCATTCAGTACTCCACTCAACTGTACCTGTATCGCACAGGACTCCTGTCCCACGCTGCCCCCATCCTCACTTTGTCTTTCCTTCTCCTCCATCCTGACCCTCTACCACCTCCCCCAAATCTTCTCTCTTGGACTCCGCAGCCACGTCCGCGGCAGGAGGCGGTGCGGCCAGGCGGAGTTGGGTCCCTGCGCCTCGGGCAGGCCCCTCCTCGCCGCAACCGAAACATTTCATCGCCGGCGACGATGATGCAAAAATCCCACACTCTTAATCATCTACCTTAACGTGGAAGCGGAGGTTGAGGTCCACATTCCGGTTGTATCATGTAGAGGTGTCTGCGGTGCGACGCTACGTGCTTCAGCAACTGAGACCTGGATCCGAACAAGATCCTTTTTATCTGTGACACCACCTTTCCGTGTCTGGAGAGTTCTCTGCTGAGGAATTGGTCTGTGATGAATGGAGTTAAGTTTGACAAAACCACCTTCGTGGCCAGTTGTTTCACTGACAACACCTGTACGAACATTTCATTTACCGCGAGGCCCGCCTCGACGACTCGGTCCTGACTGTCAACTTTGGCAAGTCTGTGTTAACGGCCACTTTAACCGCTAGGAACCTCGACGTGACGCTCAACAGCCGACTCTCCCTGACTCCCAACATCACTAACATCACCATACTGTAGATACTCGCTCTACAACATCAGGAGAACACGTCCTCTTCTCACTCAGAAGTCGGCCCAGGTACTGATTCAGGCTCTTGTCGTCTCCCTCCTGGACTATAACTCTCTCCTGCAGGTCTCCTGCTACCACCATTCACCTCTGCAGCTCATCCAGAATGCAGCAGCTCCACTGGTCTTTAACCTTCCTAAGTTCAAACTTATGTTTGAAAGGTACTTATTATAAGTCGCTTTGGATAAAAGCGTCAGCTGAATGTAATTGTCAGAACAGTTCGGGTGGCAAGACTGACGCAGAGTACGTTGATAGGGTGACAGTGTACAAAACAAAATCCAAAAACTAAGGACGCTCCTAAAGGAGGAAAACAGAGCTACTATCAAAACTAACTGAGGCCTGACACGGAACAACAAAGAGCTCTAAAGAAAAATCACTCACGAGGTAAAACGGTGATCACGAGACAAGACAAACTATGGACACTGCTGGTATGACGACACACTGGCACAAGACAAAGGGAGACGCCGACTATATGAACACGTGGGGAGGAAAAGGGAACAGGTGGACACAATCAGACAGGTGACACATCAGGAAGGCCAAGGAACCTGAAACAAGAGGAGATTTAATCGCCAAAATAAAACAGGAAGTCACGAAAACGTAGAGACAGGACAAAAACCCAACTAGACATACAGGTGTGACAGTATGTAAAGTGAGGGTTTGAAATAAAGTACTTAGGGACTTTTCCCTAACACTGAGATGAATGTACTCCTGGAATAAATGGTTTAGCTTAGCCTTTTCTTACTTTCTGTTTTGAATAAATGGTAGATGGTGGAAAATAATTCTGTGCTGTTTAGGGATTTTATTGATTTACACATTCACACATACTCACCGATACAGGTTTTTAACATTGAGATCAGTTATTTTTGATCTAGTGGGTAACATAATAAATCATGTAAAAGGGGGGAATTGATAATAAAACCGTTTTTCTTTCTTACTCATCTTGGCTGAGGAATGCAAGGTCAGAAAGAAAAGCAGAAAGTGCCAACCAGGCGACACACTTTTGATAAGGATGAGTCAGAGACACCAAGCACTATACAACACTCCGACATTGTTCATTCAGACCACACATTGTATCTGACTGGATCTAGTATTGCACCTGCTCCAATCATGCCAGGTATTGTTCTTCCAATCTTTACTCAACTTCTTCATACTTTCAGCTATTAAAACCGTTCAAAAATTAAAACGTTCAGCTCATTCAGGAGAGGGGTGCTATGACTTTTCAGCGTTGTACCTCTTATGCTTGAATTAATATAAATCAATAATCAATCATTCATATTTGACACCTCAAACGCTCTCAACGTGCCGCAGGACTCTCGGGGTACATTTGTGTCTCAACTTTTCGCCTGTTTTTCCCTCACATCAACCGCCACTGTGTACTTGTAGTGGTCATAGCGACTCTGTACTCGTAGTGGAAGTTCTGCTCACGTCGGACCACCAAACAGAGTCTTGTTTTTGTACTAAAGCGTCCGTAGGTGCGGACAGCTCGGTGAATTTCTCTGACTGAGAAACTGTGTCTGGATGAGTGCTAGCCGTTGGCTCGGATCGGGCACACGGATACTTCCATGCCGAGGGAACTGTCCTATGGAGACATCGTATGCTCAAGCACAACCAAGCGGCTCTTTTTAGGAGCTACACACACTTTATCATTGGGCAAACATCCTCTATATTACTTAATATTTAGTATCGGTGTGTCGTTTAACAATAATTACCCTTCTTCTTGCCTTGGTTTTCTCTAAATAACCCTCAAACCTTCTGAATTTAAAAGTGGGCCTGCAAGTAAACCGCCATCAAATACTATTACATAAAGATTGGATTTTGAAGTTTTCCTTGAGCAGTTTAATGTCCCAGAAGTTCTGACCCACAAACGCACACAAAAAGCACAAAAAATGTTTTTTAGCATGTTTTGTTATGTTTATTAGTGCGGTTTATTTACTTACTTGATGGCCATTTTGAATTTAATAAACCAATATGCTATTTCCAGTTGTAGCAATTAACTGTCTGAATACAAACAAAACAGTCAAATATTTTGACAAATGAATGAGCGGTGATCCGTCAGTGGATTGTCTTGTGGATCCTTGAGCAGATTATTCACATCCTGGAGGTGAACTCCATCTTTCTTACTAGGGACCTGCTGACCTCCGATACAGAACGACAACCTGCACAGAGTCACACACGTACAACGCACACAACAGGGAAAAAGAGATGATGGATGAACATAAAAAGGTGACCCAAGGGTTTGAAAAGTGCCAAAAACTGCAGTCCCTCAAATGGCCACTTGAAGGCTCCAGAAGTGGGTCAACCCTCATCCCGCCGGTTAACTTACCTGTGGAAACCATTATGTTACAAACGTGCCACAGAATTACAACATTTAGCACTTTGTGCTATCATTGCTAACCCACTATATTCACTATTGCAGTTAATTGTCATTTTTGCATCATCCATAGACCAAGATGGCCGCCTCGGTACTGCGCTCTCTCGGACGGTTTTGTTTGTGTCAGATTGTCTCGTTTCCAGCTCTCTGCTCACATTCAGCAGGGAGGATCTTTTAAACCTCCGTCAATACGCTGTTCAAATGTTTTCACAGAACCGTGAAGCTTTGCAGAGCTTTTAGTTGGAGGAGCAGCGGCTCCTTTCGGAGTTAGCCGGAGACGCCGGCGGGGGAAGTGCGTTGGTGCGCTGGTTGAACCGCGGCAGACGGGTCTGGCATGATCAGACCGTCACACCCTGACACAAGCTGTTCCATCTCCGCCCCTCTGGGAGGCGCTACAGAGCACCGCACGCCAACACCACCGGGCACCCGGACAGCTTCTTTCACCAAGCCGTCCCCCTGATGAACAACTAACAAGACACCTCCATCTGCACCACATATTTATATTGTAGATATCAGTAAATGCTTATTCTTAGTTTTTGTGTTCTGTTTTGTTGTCCTTAATGTCTTTTTCATATTTTTAAAATCTATTTGTATATCTATGTATGACAGAGCAACATGTAACCGGAGACAAATATATAAATACATACATGGCCAATAAAGCGGACTCTGATTATTCTTCTTACTATATTATTCTCTATTATACTCATTCTTTACACACGACATGGATCCCACTGCCGGTCCTCCTCTTCTCCTTAAGGTTTCTTCCTTGTTCCTCCCCATTGAAAGTGTTTCCTGTGCCGACGTGAGGGTTTGATGTGAGTACACATTGTAAAGCCCGAACTTTGGCCCACGTAAAATGTTTAGAATTGAATATATTTTTGCTCTCTGGCTAATTTCCCTGTTCATGACCACTGTGAGGGTCAGCTGGTATACAACTCACCCCCTTTAATTACATTACGGTTTAGATGTATATTATACGGGTGTGGCCGCTTTGACTGGTTTTTCAGTGTTCAGTGTTCAAGATATTGAGAGTTGTCGTCGACGGCATCACGATTAATGCCACAAAATGACGCATTACGAATGCAGCCCACCAGCCCCGCCGGGCCGAGATAAGGGGACCCAACCCAACAGAACAAGATGACGGCCGAAAGGGCAAACTGAAAATGGTCGTCATCAAATCCATTGGTTGGTGCACCTTTATAGACAGTCCCTGGGTATTTTCAAAAAGCATACGCCCTGTGTGTGTGTGTGTGTGTGTGTGTGTGTGTGTGTGTGACTGTGTGTGACTGTGTGTTACCTGACAGTGCCATAGCCAGTCGCAGCTCCTCTTGTAGAAGTTCCAGCATCTCTATGACTCCTTGTTCCCCCTGTTTACACACAAATGACCTCTTTGCTTAATTGTTTGTCACATCAAATATATTTCGATAAGCGTAAGAATAACATCCTTCACCTGACAGGCGAGGCCCCACAGCACCGGTCGGCCGATGAAGACAGCCTTTGCTCCCAGAGCTAAGGCCTTTAGGACGTCTGTCCCCCGCCGCACTCCCCCGTCCATGTAGACATCACAGCGGCCCTGCACTGCCTGCACCACCTCCTCCAACACATCCAGCTACAGGCAAACAAACACACCTTTTACAATATTCAGTGTTTATCTAATTGTCAACAAAACCCATGAAACAAAGTAGTTGGCTGTGTGTATCCATGGCATAGCGGACAGATTTGTCCACTCATTATTCTGTCTCCGTCTTTAATCATGTACCAGTTTTCATAAGCAATGTGGACACAATGTTGTTTGAGAGCAAATGAAACAAACCACGATGTCATGTTATATATCGTGAAGACATGCTGCTAATGGAGTTAGTCCTGCTGTGATGCTTTTTCAACCAAAATACCATTTATTAAATCAGTCAGCTCACTTCAATGAGCGCATTCAAAAGCTAATCGAGCTCGCTCTAAACACTGTAATGCCTGAAGTCAACATATACCTTTTGGATCTCTGATCGTTTGCATGGCTCTCGTTAGGATCCTTTGCCACTAATCTTCTGGTTTTGATGCCGGCTTCCCTTTGAATTGGGTAAAGCTGGACAATGTTTTTTGCCATATTTCAAATATGTGTGAATACTTTCACTTTGCCTTCAGACAGCATGAAACATGGCCATGACAAGCTAACATGAAATACCAGTTAATTATTCTTTAACTGAAACAAATCCCACTCTTAGTTATTGTCCATGAGCTTATACCTTTTTGGGACATTTCAGGAGTTTATTTAAAGTCCATAAGACAATAGAGAGGAAACGTGACTTTAGGCTAAGAGAGCAATGGAGGCCGGGCGGCTCTGCTTATATACGTCCTACAGCCACTGTCGTCTCACAGCAACGTGAGCGGGGGCCGCGAGCACGATGTGCTTTCATGTAAATGTATTACGCTGCATACAGGTCCGGATCAGGATCGAGGTAAAAAAAACATTTCACACACACACACACACACACACACACCGTGGCAGGAACTCCATCCAGTTGTCGAGCTCCGTGATTGGACACCACGATGCCGTCAACGCCATAGTTCACAGCCTGGGTGGCATCCTCGCCTGACGCCACACACAAACAATGCTGAAGTTCATCTTTAACCAGACAGCACAAAATGTCTTCTGCGATATTTGCACCTTCGCATCACCAGAAATTGCTTACTGCAAACACTGACTTTAATCAATTACATTGACTAGCAAACTAAAACTGGTTTGCACCGTACAATCAAATTTAAATACATTTTTCCAAATAATATCTGAGATTTTTCTTTTTTGGATAATGGCATTTTAAAATACTGTGTGTGTATGTCAGTTTACCATTAACTACCCCTTTCACAATCACTGGTAGGCAGGTGTGCTGTTTTATCCATGTGATGTCATCCCAACTGAGAGAGGGGTCTATTGCATTGGCAACGTACACAGCCAAACCACTGTCGTTGCCATAGTTTCCCTCAGAGAAAGCCAGGGAGGCGGATGAGAAGTTGGACATGCTGAGGAGTGAGAGAGATGTTACCATGGTCCTCACATTGTTGTCTCCGTTGTAATCACTTCCTACCTCAGGTGTGGGGGCAGTTTAAAGCGGTTCCGCATGTCATCCCGTCTTCTTCCCAGATATGGCGTATCCACAGTAACAAAGATGGCCTTGTACCCCGCCTCTTCTGCCCGGCGGACCAAGGACAGTGTGAGCTCTCGGTCTTTATAGATGTAAAGCTGCAGCCACATGACACCTCCTAGTGCGGCTGACATCACTTCCTCTATAGTGGAGGTGGCCCAGGAGCTCAGCATCATCCCTGTCCCCACTGCCCGGCATGCTGAAAAGGTACGTAATATTACTGCCTATTAGAATGAGCCTCAGACTCGTGTGTGTGTGTGGAAACTGTACTCCATACGTATATGTCTATTACTGTTGAGCTAGCTGTAACACTATTCCAATGTATTTTCATTGTGTGTGTGTGTGTGTGTGTGTGTACCTCTTGCTGTAGCTGTTTCTCCCTCAGGATGAGCCATCCTCTGCATTGCTGTGGCTGCAACGCAGATCGGCATGTTGAGCCTGTGGCCCAGCAGAGAGACAGAAAGATCCACTGTGGACACGTCCCTCAACACCCGTGGGACAAGACGCCACCTGCACTCACACACACACACACACAGACAATTATCATTAGTCAATTATAACTGTCTACATTGGTAACACAAATTCTCTTTCCGCTTGACACAGTCAGCTCAGCAGAAATCAATATGGATCTTCCATCCATTAACCGCTTTCCACACCCAAATGATCAAATGTTCCTGTTGCACTCAGAGAATGCGTACAGTCGGTATCTGCAGAGGATGACCAAAGGTGATACTTCTTTGTCACGGATTTACAGCGGAGAATGATGAAAACAATAGTGATTAAGTCTCAACTGATGAGCCCTCGTATTTGCAGGATTATGAAGGGGTTATCTGTTGCAAATGACCACTAGCATTCACAAGCTGAGGGCGGCACGGTGGTGTGGTGGTTAGCACTGTCGCCTCACAGCAAGAAGGTCCTGGGTTCCACTCCGCCCAGTGGCCTTTCTGTGTGGAGTCTGCATGTTCTCCCCGTGTCTGCGTGGGTTCTCTCCGGTTCTCCGGCTTCCTCCCACAGTCCAGAGACATGCTCTGGGGATCAGGTTGATTGCTTGTAGGTATATGAATGTGAGTGTGAATGGTTGTGTGTCTCTGTGTAGCCCTGTGATTGGCTGGCGACCAGTCCAGGATGAACCCCGTCTATCGCCTGAAGTTGGCTGGGATGGACTCCAGCCCCCCAAGACCCCGTGTGCAGGATAAGCGGTTTGACGACGGACGAACGAGCTGCTCACTCTGGCGTGAGATCCAAGAACCGAGCAGCAGTTACAGCGTATCATCAAAGAGGAGAAGATTCTTCTTCGTTACAATCCAACAGAAATAGAGAATCACCGAAGTCTTCCAAGATGCTGCTGGTCTGACGGCTGTGGGTCGGTTAGTAATCACACCCATATTCTTCCTCCTTCGTTCATCATTGATCGCTTTGGAGGGAGGCCAGGAGGGTGAGCAGTCAGTGTTGCCAACTTGGCGACTTTCTTGCTCGTCAGGTGTTGTTGCAATAATGTCGTCCCCCGGGGGCAGAGAGGGGGCGCTGGGAGCCACAGGGTTGGTGGTTCGAGTCCCGGCTGTCCCATGTTGAAGTGTCCCTGAGCAAGACACCTAACCCCTAATTGCTCCCTGGGCAAAAATGTAAAAGGCCACGGGTTTAAAGTGTAATGTAAGTCGCTTTGGATAAAAGCGTCTGCTGAATGACCTGTAATGTAATGTAATATTTACTGAATCATTGAAAAATTGATGATAAAACAGTGAGCTGAATGCACACTGGTGTTTGGCATGAGGGGGCACAGGAAAGATTTTACTGTGTCTTGATAGTAAATACAATTCAAACAGAAGTAAAATAGCGCAGATGAAGAGTGACTTTGGACTGAAGCAGGGTGAACTATGCTAAGCAGAGCTTCTGTAATCATTAACCTGCTGGAGACTCTTCAAAAGGGGGGTCCTGCTCGGCTGCGTTCAGTTTTTACGTTTAGAGAGTAACGAACGGCAGAACAAAGACCATCATATATATATATATATATATATATATATATATATATATATATATAATCTCAATACTTAACTGTAAAAGAGGGATGATACTATCTACTACATCCTTACCATATAAATACCATCCAGTTGTTCTGTGATGATCTCATACAATTGTTTGTGTCTGACTAAATGTATCTGATATTAAAAAGGCTTTAATAAACGGTTATGGCAGAATAAGAAGACATTGATGAATTTGCTGGTACAACAGGTTGAAGCAGAGATTTGAGCAGTTTGTGAAAAAGAACCAAAGCTGCTGGAAGCTTTGGTGCAACTTGTGTCCTACAGACGTTTGTAGTACATGTGAGAGTGTGTGTTTCTGTGCATTGTACCTGTTAAAGGCAGCGACATTGTCCGCCAGCGTGTTTTGCTCATCAGCTCCTGAGCAGTAGTAGTCGTACACAGCTTTAGGTAGAATTTTCTTGGCTTGTTCCTCAAAGTCGGCCACACACACGCGCTGCACCGACATTGTCGTCCAGTCAAGCGCCAAAACTCTGAGGCGCTAACGGTCTGTGCACTCTGACAAAAGTGCAGTAAGAGGAGCTGCTGTAATGATTAACGAGCTGGATGCCTCTCATCTCACCTCAAATCAGCCCCTGATTTATTTGTTTATTTGACCTTTATTTAACCAGGTAAAATCTATTGAGAACCAATGTACAATGATGACCTGGCCAAGAGGCTGATGAGCCCCTTATTCTCTATCAGGGGTTCCTGCCCTGGCCAGCTAGTTTACACGAGGTCCAAAGCGTCCATCCAGACTGTCGGCATCATGGTCCTCAGGGTCACCGCGCTTGTTTTGTAATGTGTGCTGGTTAGAAGCCAGTGCTGACTGGTGGACTTTGAATCTTTTGAAACTTTACATAATTCTAGATTTTTCTAAAATCTTATCATTTGGCTAAATAAAACCCTAAACAATTTTTAGTTCATTTTAAATAAAGGCCATGATTCTACAAATGTTAAGTGGCTGTAATCAAAGCTGTGTTCCTCAAGGTCACATTCTGAAGGATCACACAGAACCCCCCCCTCATGGCATCAGGGTGTGTTCAAGAACAGCCAACAGGTTTGGTGACAAGATGCACTTCAGCAACCTTTGTCAGGTAGAGCGATGAGTCTGCCCTCTTGACTTACAATTGTGCCGCCTCCCAGGACATATTGAAAGGTATTTCAATTATTTTCGCTGTCCAAACCCCCCCCGTGTAGAGCATCAATTTTACCCTGCTGAATACTGCCTGAATCAAGGCCTTTCCCTTTTTACCAGATCTGTAAAGCACCCGCCCCCAACATCTGATCCTGTTGATCAGTTGTCACCTCTGCTTCTCTCTTCACCGGAGTGCAGAAGATTTGATGAAACGTGCTCAAAGTTGATCTTTGGTCGGGGTTTGCTGGTTTTCGTTGAGGCCAATCCATAACTATATCCAATAATCCATAAGAGTCCAACAAAGCAAGCACCACTTGGTTCTGATCAGGCCGACTGGTCCTTACAACAATGCTGGAGTCAGCCAGGGTTGCTTTTGAATGAAAATGTGTCCGTTGGTAGTGCTAATTAGCAATCATTGCTTACTAATTAGCACTACCAAGTTCTGTTTGGTCACCACGCAAGCAGATGAGCTGACGAGATTTATTCCCCAATGGCAGTCGATGTACAGACATCACCCGACTGCATGGACAGAAAAGATCAGATAGATAATGAAGCAGTGTAATCTGATGGTGACTGCAAGGTTCATATTGTCCTTACCGGATTGCAAAAGCACCCAATGGAAACATGGCAAGGGGCAAAATGGTGAATTTGAGGACTCAAACCTTGGTACCAATAGCCATAGCAATGAAGGCTGTTGCGCTGGCAGATTATGTTGTGAATTTCATGTAAAGACTTTATTGTTAAATAAAACACTTGACCCATTTCAGTTCCATGTTTATTTGTTATCCAACAAAATCCAATAAAAGCTTTAAGAATAAACAATTTGCACTAACACCAAAAACGTAATTTCTCCTACTAAAAATGTAAAACTAGAAGCTCAAGATTAATAAAATGCAAGCATTAGGGAGGGGTGGGATTTGTATGAGGCAAGCAACAGCTTCAAAAATCTACTCCTACAGTTGTGGCTAAAGAAGGACTGAACATCGTTATAAAGCTACACAGACTAGTGATGCACACAGAAGAAAAATAATCAGATGGGGCCGTCCATTTTCTAAGTGAATTCCCCTTTAAATGTCCATTCGAAGCACAGATGAGCCATCGCAAACTATTAGACATGACAGAACGTTTCACTTTCATCCACAGAAGCACAAAGAACCTTCCTGAGAAAACAAATCCACTTAATCCTTTATTGAGATATGTGTAAATGTATTTACGTTTATCAACCAAAGTACAGTTGGATTATTGTTTCCCCTTCGTTTCAGGCTTCAGGTGGGATAAACCTATTGAACCTTCATCCTCATTGTTACTGCCCAACTGTACAACCCTCTGGCCAATCACAAACACAACGCCACTGAGGAAAGGATTGGTGATAAACAGGTGGACGCCCACTCGGCCCCGGTGAAGTCCCATCCACTGCACGCCAGCGGGGTTCCTCAGCTCGCTCCCTGCTTCCTCCTGCCCTCAGGCAGAGTTTGATTGGCGCAACAGGATGCAGAGATGTTTATGGGTACGATTTGACAGTGAGCTATGCAGGTGAGGGGGGAAGGTATTTCTAAGTTGAGGAGGCCTTATCCCTCCTGCCCCCATTCGGCGCTGCAGTGCCTGGTCAAACCCCAGAAAGGAAGGCGGGGCCACAGGCCCACAAAGCGTTGTGTTGGCCCGATCGCCGGTGGTTGGGGAGTGTGGTTGCAGCAGTGCTACTGGGTCGCTGCCCCAGTTTGGGTTCCCAGGAGTTTGGGAGGGCGGACTTAGCAGCCGCTTCCCATGTCCTCCCCCAAGTGTGGCCCGGTGCTGCTGTTCCGACACCCCAGACCTGCTGGACTCTGGTGGATCTCCAAGCCTTTGTTGGACCAAAGACATGACGTGGCGTAGCAATCACACCCAGGCAGTCCAGCCCTCGTACAACTGGGCCAGGTTGTCCATGTTGGTGGCCTCTTTGATGACAACGTCCACCTGCAACAAAACGTTGCAGCTTTACAACACAAAGAGAAACACCTAGTGGACATTACGATGACGCCCCGTCAACGTGGTTAGGAGATGTCCTGAATAGATCCTAAGGACGAGTATTGGCTAAAATAAAGCTGATGTTCTCAGCATGGTCGCGTTGCTATGGTTCCTGTGCCTGATGCTTCTCTTTGGGAATCAAAACAAAGACCAGGAGGTAAAATGTTAACGTTACTGTCTGATCACGCTTTACTTAACTCCCACATACGTGTTTCCCCCAAGGAGGTCTGGGATTCTTTAGTGTGACTACTGGCCACCCCACGTCTGGTGGGCCGTTCGCCCACGCAGGGCCCAGAAACTTTAACATTTTTGTTATTCTAATGTGAAAATAAAAATGTTAAACAACGATATTGCTAATAGATTGTCCTTGGAGAGCCTGAGGTTCCCTTCTCTTTCCCCCGTTGAAGCTTTGTGTGGAGAATGTTCACTTGTAAAACTGGACTGGCCAATCGATCAGCAGAGCTATAGGAAGAAGAAACGCGTAGATACTCATAACACGCTCTCCCTTCAGCCCAGGTGTGTAGGACAGTTATAGTTATAATGCAAAGCTGGTTTGGCTTCAATCTGCCATGAGACGCGTGTGTGTGTCACCTGCTCTGTGACGCTCATCCTCCTGTTGGGATCGATGTCTCTGCCCTCCAGCTTGGCCTTCACCCTCTTCCACACACTGACTGCGTACGAGTTCCTCTCCTGGACAGCTGGAACAACACAGCAGGATTTAACACAACTACTGCCCCCATCATGAGGCTCAACGGGTCCCCTGGGGGGGCTTAAGCTGAGCTCAACCACCTGACCCTTCGTCCCCTGGACTAAGTCGGCGTTAAGGTCTCATATGGTAGTAAGCTTCTAACATGGTACGTTTCAGACAGACGAACTACAATCCTCCTCATTAAATCATGCAAACATGTTCTAGGTGAAAAAACTAAATACAAGTATGGAAAAGTCCCCTAAACGATGACTTGGGTTCTGCTGAGGTGACATTAAACAAACCAGCCGGAAGGTGGTGCCTGCGATCCGGCCCCCCGGGGGTCCTGTGCGGCCCGCCGGATGAGACCGCCATGACTTGGTTGATTGAAAAAGTGACTTTTATGCTCACGGCGTCACTACAGACTTAATAATGACACGTGCGAGGAGAGGACAAATACCTCGTCCCGTCTTGGGGTCCCGTACAGCCCTCTTGGGGCTGGGATTGGGGCCTTTGCTGTTAATCATCAGAGTGCTGGGTGGGGTGTCAGTGGGGGTCCCCAGGTTGCGTGGCAGAGCTTTGCGGGCATTCTGGGACATGGAGTCCGGCTGGGTCTTCACCCCACTGCATTTGACAGCTAAAGTGAAACAAAACAGGACAATATTCAATTCAAAGTACATCACGATTACATTGGAGTGTGTTTCCCACACAGACTGATGTGTTTTAACATGTGAAACGTTCTATTGATCCACCGGACTGGAGCTCCTTAGAAGAGTCCTTCTGAACTGACCCACGAGCTGCATCACCAACAGCTGCATTCCTGTCGGTGTCCCGTCCAATTGACAACAACATTGCTGTGCGCCCCATTCTTGCCATAATTGAGCACATTGTGTGATCTGGCTTGCGTGGTCATCGGGGCACTGAAATGTTGGCATGCGGAGACAGCGTCTGTGTCTTACCTGCGGCGAAGCTCGTCTGCGCGGCGGAAACAGGACTGGAACATTCGCCGTCTCGGTCCGTCACCAGCGGGGAGGCGAAGCCCACCAGGCCGTTGTACACGCTGCGGTGAGGCACACGTATGGTTCATACAGGATCTGCACAGGGCAATTAAAGGCGCGTGGGACAGCGGACGGCGGCGCGTACCTCTGGCTCTGCGAGTGCAGCTCCTTCAGGGTGTCAGGAATCTCCTCCAGCAGTTCAAACTGCTCCTGGTTGCGAGGCTGCCCGCTGGCCTGGACCACGGTGAACAGCACCAGCTGGATGTTGTCCTGCCAGGCTTTGTACAGCAACAGGAAGTGACGCACACTGCCCTCATATGGCACGTCTTCACCATCGGCCAACGCCGCCTCCTCGTCCTGTAGGACACCAGTAACACAGCTGGATGACTGCTGGTCGCAGCGCAAACATTACAAACACAGCTGTCCAAGTCTGACATTCACAACCCTCAACACAGTGCAAAATAAATACCCAGAGAGACAGAGGGCGGATACAGGTACCACACAAGTATGACTGTGATAAAGAGCAGGGCTGGTACCTTGGACATGGCTTTGAGCAGGTGCTTGACGTCAGCCAGCTGGCGGTTGTGGTTGGACAGGATGGTCTTGATGGAGTCGACCAGGAGCTGCAGAGTCTCCCCGCAGGACTCCAGCTGCTGCTCCCGCTCCTCTTGAGTCCTCCGCTCAACGCTCAGCTCCTCCTCCAGCTGCCTCTGGGCACAGCTCAGCCAATCAGAGCTGCCTATGGGCAGGTCCAGCACTGGACTCTGTGGACCAGAAGGAGCGGAAAGGTACCGTGTGAAGGGTTGGTTCTTTCAAAGACTTCCACTGACTGACGCCGCATTGTGCCACCGAAGACTGAATCGTAGTGAATTTGGATGCACAACGGCGGAAAATGTGGGAAAAGATCATCCAACGCCGATGCACTTGAACTGGACCGGAGTGACGGCCTTATTCAATGTGCAGTGTGTTGAATACATTTTTGAAATAGAAATATACAACATGTGACTGCTGCAGAGTGGACCTCACAGAGGCCACACCCACCAGTCTGAGCAGGAGTTGGAGTTCCAGTGGGGAAACTGTGCTGCTAAACTGGGCAGCATAGGAGCAGGTTTGCTGGCAGCGTTTCAGCAGCTCAAACAGCGCTGCGTCCATGTTGAGGGCCTCGGGGGACCGGGTCCGGAGGCTTTCAAAGTTCAGTATGGTGGAGCACAGGAAGGTGACCTGAAAAAAACATAGCAAGGAACCTAAGAGAGAGTCCAGTCACTTAAGCTTTGGGAATGGGCCCTTGAGCAGTGCTACCTGGCTGCTGCGCTGGTTCTCTCGGGCCACCATGGAGCGCCTCTCTCTAATGGTCATCTCAAAGTCCTGGAGGACGGGGGCCAGGGCCGGGTTGGCTCCCCCAGCCCACTTTAGGCGCTGCTCAATACTGGCCTCCAGCGACGCCAGTTTCTCCTGAAACCACCAACAGTCAGACACGTCAAAACACACCTATGTCCTGGCCTAAAGAAGTAAAACAGGTTGGTGGCAGCTGAATACGAGAACCCTCACAGTTCATGCAACAAAATAAAGCACATGAATAAAAAGACCTGCAGTGTGGTACATGTGATGTGCGGTGCGGTACATGTGATGTGATGTGCGGTGCATGTGATGTGATGTGCGGTGCATGTGATGTGATGTGCGGTGCATGTGATGTGATGTGCGGTGCATGTGATGTGATGTGCGGTGCATGTGATGTGCGGTGCATGTGATGTGCGGTGCATGTGATGTGCGGTGCATGTGATGTGATGTGCGGTGCATGTGCGGTGCAGGTGATGTGCGGTGCAGGTGATGTGCGGTGCAGGTGATGTGCGGTGCAGGTGATGTGCGGTGCATGGGATGTGCGGTGCATGGGATGTGCGGTGCAGGTGATGTGCGGTGCAGGTGATGTGCGGTGCAGGTGATGTGCGGTGCAGGTGATGTGCGGTGCAGGTGATGTGCGGTGCAGGTGATGTGCGGTGCAGGTGCATGGGATGTGCGGTGCATGGGATGTGCGGTGCATGGGATGTGCAGTGCATGGGATGTGCGTGCAGGTGATGTGCGGTGCAGGTGATGTGCATGTGATGTGCGGTGCAGGTGATGTGCGGTGCAGTTGATGTGCGGTGCAGGTGATGTGCGGTGCAGGTGATGTGCGGTGCAGGTGATGTGCGGTGCAGGTGATGTGCGGTGTGACCTGACCTGGATGGCCATGATGGATCCCTCATCTTGACTCAGCTTGTACAGCTTCTTCTTCATGTTGCCGAGTATGACTGAGCGAGGAAGAATGCTGACGCTTAGCGGCTGATTGTTGGGGCCTAGAACGTCCTCATGCTGCCACTGGAAGGGGACACACACAAAAGCTGGAGGTCAACCTTCATCACAGACTCCACTCTCACATGCAATACGAAGCCTAAGGCTTCCAGTGGAGCTCCTATGCAACAAAGGTGGGATTATTTTGAGATGTTATGTAAATGACAGACTACGTACAACAGCCGTTAAAGCTTTTCATCCCATTCCCCGAGTTGTGTTTTGCCTTTTGGGGGCGTTATCATATCCCAAACGTTGCTTAACATGCATATCAGGACTGGTGATGTTGTGATATTTTATTTGGGTATGAAGAAATGTAGAGCGCCCCCTAGAAATATGAAAAGTACCACAAAAGGCCAGTTTTTTCCCCAATGCCCGATTGACTTGACTTGCTACAAAAAAGTCAATCATTACATTACATTACATGTCATTTAGCTGACGCTTTTATCCAAAGCGACGTACAATAAGTGCATTCAATGGCATTTAAATGCAGCTATTTCGATTTTCTGCCATTTTAAATTTGGGTAAAAACACCTTTTCCCCTAAATATGATTCAGATTCTCACTAAATTTTCTGTGGATCATTATTGGTTCAATGTCATCAGGAAACCCATAAGGCTTGTTGATATCTCATTGTTTTGAGACGTTATGGGCCATTGAACTTCTAAGGGGTGCGGCTTAATATGTCAAGACACAAAACTTCCAAATGACTTTGCCTGCGCTCACAATTTGTAGCATATGTCAATATCGCATTCCTAGACATTTGAATAATAGGGGGCGGTGCAGTGAAGAGTTGCATTTACAGCCTGTTTTGGGGGTTGAAAAAGACCAAACTCCTCTCAGAGATTAACACCTGAGCAGTGTGACCTTCAGACACACATGTGAGCGCGGAGCGTCGGCAACAAACACCATTAGCCACGACAATTGAAGTGTTTTACACACAACACTTCCTTACCGCGTAGACATCCACAGCGCCACTTAACGGCAACAGGGACTTACTGGTTTTTATTTTATACTCTTCTCCTCTCAAATGGAACCGGTCGTTTCTGTCAACATTTGACCAGGATCTAAGACCGTAACAATGTTAAAGATAAAGTTTGCAGAGCGGCGTCCAGCCGTCCATCGCTGCGCGCAGCTTTAATTCAAACTCCTTTTCTGTGCCTGCCGGTACCTGGAACATGGCGATGTGCAGCTGGCTCCTCTGCAGGCTGGCCTTGGCGGCCTCCAGGTTGGCGTCCAGCCTCCTCAGCAGGTCCACTTTCTTCCAGGCCGTGTCGTAGGACGAGGCCAGCACCGTGGCTCGGTTCAGCAGCAGCTGGGACAGCCGGCCCGACGCCAGGCCCTGCTCCACCGCCTTCTTACACAGCTCCTCCAGAGACACCTTCAGAGCCACCACGAGTGGGAACGTTAGAGGTCCAACTATTCTTCCTATCAGCTAGACAGTATACCACTGTACAGGCCTGGGCAGTTACGTAATTAGGAAGCCAAAAAGATAATATTAATAAGTTAGATTTAGCAAAATGGGGATTACACACACAGCATCTCCATAGAGTACGGTAGCAGATCTGCCTACAGCGTTATGAAGTATCCTTACAATACTATCCGAACTCTAAAAGCAGGCACACGGGCTTTGGTTCTGATCACTCAGCACGACATGGAGGAGACAAGCGGGCAGCACAATAAAAGCATCAGCACTTGAAATAAAGGTCCTACGGTCTGATGTTATGCACCACGCCATGTCAGATCCCTTGTATGTGACATTTTGGCAATAAATGGTCCTGATTGCTGAATGAGATGAATTTATTCCAGTTCGGTTTAATTTGTAGAGCCCAAAATCATAAGTTTGCCTCAGCATAGGTCCAACATATGACCCCCTGTGTGCTCGGACCCTCGCGTTGGGGAAAGAAAACCCAAAGAGATTGTGACTCAAGCAATAAATAAAGACTTTAACGCAAACAAATTTTTAACTTAAAAAACTTTTTCATTAGTGAAAAGGTGCAGATAATAGTATGAATCAACACTTTCCCTGAGTGACGGTGCAATTAGACGCACGCCGGGCAGAGAAATCAGAGCGAGCAGCTTCATGTAGAGAAAGACATTAGTGCGAGTTCCTGATCCGATGTACTTCAGACCACCACCACTAGAACCCGCTCATTCCTACCTTGCTGTCGGCACCGAAGTCCTTGGCCTCCACCTGGGAGACCACGTCCAGGCCGAGGGCGGACAGGGTGCTGCACAGGGCCAGCCCGATGGCCTGGCCGGACAGACCCATCAGCATCTGACGAACAAAGTCGGCCGTGAAGGCCTTGATGGGGCGGCTCATCTGGTCCTCGCTGACCACGGCGGCACCGGACCCTGCGGCACTGGGCCGCCGGTACAGAGGCTTCCCCAGACCCACCGGCCCGTTGGTAGGTAACAGGTCCTCCGCTGGGGACGGGGTACCTGCAGGCATATGTGGGACAGCTGACTGTGAGCCTCACCGTTAATCAATCAGGACATTCAGGCATCTCCAGTCGAGGGAAACACACCGTCATGACGTAATCAATGTGCTCACCGGTCTTCTCTTAAAATGTTATTTTGTTAAGAGAAATCCAGGTTTCCACAATCGAATGGGAATTAAAATGAAGACCAGTTTAAAGTAACCAATGCTTCTGGGAAGGGATGGATCCTGTTGACCAAACTACAGCTTTTGTGCTTCTCCAAACAACTGTGTGGTGTGTATTAAAGTAGCAGTTAGCGAGCATTGCACAAATGTTCTTTATACCCCACGTTGGCGTTTGGCTTCTCACACAGCCAGCGGTCTCCATAACGTAAGGCTGCACCAATCTAACGATGCATGAGTCAATCTGTACGATCCGTGTTCCCGCCTGACAGCCGTCGCATATTGACACATGGCACAATATGAGGACAATGTCACACATAAATTAACGTCTCCACCATTTTAGTCCATCACGCTTCCCTCTAGTCTGCTTTCATTGTGGGAGGCGGGGCTTAGGCTGCGCCTCCATGCGCGCAGAGCCGCAGCGTTACGAGGTGGGGTTGTTTACAGACAATTACTTCTTTAGCTCCGGTGTGGGAACATGAGAGAGGAGAGCCAATCAGCGCAGGGCGCCGTCCTGCGTCCCTCCCGGGCCGCTCCGTCTCTCCCGGCTGCCGCGGCGTCTTCCCCCATGACACCTGATCATGACCCTTTTCTCAAACCCGACCGCATCGCAGCCGATGCTTCGCCCGCTCCGTGTCCCTTGCATCCCCATTTAATATATTTTTTTCACATTCTGATTCTAATGTCCACCTGTTGTGAGGAATAAAACGTTCTTTGTTCTTTGAAAGAGTGCACTTCTTTTACTATGCTATCATATCGTCATTATGTTCAGTGGCATCAAATGTAAACTTCGATATGGTGACCGCCGCACTGCCTCTTACGGACTTATTATTCCAAATCACAGAAGAAAGATGAAAAGGAAGTAACATCGTTCCACCCCCACACACAGAGAGAGAGAGAGAGAAGGGTGTTGCTTATCGGCTTACCAGACAGAGTCTGAGCAAAGGAGGCACACAGTCGGAAGAAGTCCCTGATGGTCTGCAGCCTTTTGAGGAAGAATACGTCTTCCATGAGCTGCCGCTGACTCGCGCTGTCAAAGAAGTGGAGCTGCGCGGCCCGAGCCTCCCTCAGAACATCCACTTTCCTCCAGGCCGCCGGAACCTCCAGAGAACTCAGCTGGGGGAGGTGAGGAGAATCACTGGTTTAGCAGCAGAGGCCTCTGACCAGCCGAGGGGCTCGTAGCAACAGCAACATGCAATAACCAGAGCCAGCGGAGACGACGTTTACTGCAGCTTGTACCTTCTCCGTGAGCTGTCCAAACGCCGCCTCTAGCTGGGTGAACATGCCATCAAAGGCCACTAGCAGCATCTGACCCGCGGACATCTTGGGTGTGTCCTGGCCCGGTCCGTCCACACTGCGAGGCTGGATGAGCTCCGAGTACTGAGCACGCAGCACCCTGAGCACAGGAAGGCAGCGCGTTATCTCACAGCGGGTCAGCCCCCAAACAGCCACAGCGACTTACGTTACATGTTTAATGACTTTTGGCTTTTGCCCGGGGAGCAATTAGGGGTTAGGTGTCTTGCTCAGGGACACTTGGACATGGGGCAGCCGGGACTTGAACCAACCCTGCGGTTCCCGGCGCTCCCTCTCTGCCCCACAGACGCTAGGGCTGCAACAACTGACCAATGAAATCGGTCTTTAGAAGCGTGGGCAACGCACTTCATTACTGGTTGGTTGTGTCACGCAATGATTAGCGGGACGCGTGGCGGAGTCACATGGCGCAGGCAGAGACGGTGTGTGAGCATTTCACACCAACTAGTAAAAAAGTGTCAATGGCAAAATATGCAAAGTCAGCGTAAAGCGGCCCGGAGCAGCACGTCAGGAGCCTGCAGCTGTTTACTCCTCATCCAGCTGATCGGGCTAGCGTTAGCTGCTAATAACAACAGTAAAGACCAAATACACCTTTTTATTCACTCGCCTTTTTTGGACCATTTATCTGTTGTGTGTTGTACTTTCAATGCAATTTTAAATTCATCTCATATCACTTGGTTATTTTTTTAGCTGTATGAATTTACTTAACTTGCACTACAACGATGGTAATAATTCAAGCTTCAAGTGAACATGGGGAGTGTTTGAGTGTCGTGTGGAAAACAAGTTCTGAGTATCCGGTTACATTTTCTGATTTGTATTTTTCTCTATTTTTTTATAAATTGTGTTCAAGGAGAAACCTTGTGGACTGGGAGTATTTTTGCAATGTGGATTTTCAGTTCTGTTTTAGAACAGAGGTGGAAATTAAAGCTTCAGATCACATTCATTGATTAATCAAAGACAAAACAACAACAACCGATTATCAAAATAATCAGATGCACACGCACACACAAAGTTATTACCATCATTGTAGTAAGTTACTTTATAAACCACATTGAATCGTGCTATAAAATAAGACCCCACACAGACGCTAATGAGGCCTCCTGTCGCGCTCTGTAGAGCACAGTGACGTATCCGTTGATGCTGACGTCAGGGGACCGGGGCAGCAGCCACAGGGCCGACTCACCTGGTGATGTGGAGGCAGTGGTTGCGCCCATCGTGGTCCAGGCCGGTGGGGGCCTGCAGACTGTCCACCAAACCTTGCAGGCCGAGACCATCGGAGCTCTGCTCCACCAGCTGCTCCAGCTCCACCAACATGGACTCCAAGGTGGGCTCTCCTTTGACCGTGCAGCGCACGGCCTCCGGAAAGATGATCTGACGGAAGTTGTTGTTCAGTTCCTGGAATCAATACCACGACAAAGCAGCGTCACCAATTGCTTCTCCTTTCTTGCCCCCGGTGGAACGGCCTGCTGTCTTCAAACAGGCATCACAGTCACACCTGCGAGTCGCCCAGTAAGAACACAGCTGTACCACCGCACACGCGGGAATCACTAAACCCAAACCACAAAGCACTAAAACCAGAAATAAGAAGGTATCTTTACATCCAGAGTCTAAAGGTCATCAGTCATTCTGAAAGTGGAACAATTTCCAAGCGAATTCTGTCCAGCTGTGTTAACCCTTTGGACTGACATGGAGCAGCTACCATGCAGGTTTGTTTTATGGGTTGATGTTCATTGGTGTGAACTGCGTGGATTCATTTCACGGTGCATCTACCTGCAAACAGGTGTACACGGCGCTGACCAGGTAGACGGTCTGAGTGATGGCTGAGGGAGCGGGCATGTCCAGGTCATGGGGCAGGAGTGGGCAGCGTTGCAGCAGTGTTGCCAGGGCACTGAAGTTCCCAATCATACAGCAGAGCTCCTCCAGGAACCAAGCCCCATCCCGGGAGATCAGGTCCACCAGCTGCTCTCCAGCACTGGCTGCTGCTCCCTCCATCACAAGGTTCCGTCTGGAAAAACATACAACATCTGGTCACCTGCAACAATGGGAAGGTTTGATACACGTCCTATGTGGAAGGATTTGTGGTGAACCTGCTGAGTGAGCAGAGGGCAGAAGTGATGATAGCAGCCAGGCTGAGGGAACCCGGCTCTCCGTTCTCCCCGAGGAACACGGTGATGCAGTGCTCTATCTCCTGCAGCTGCTCCTCACAGGCAGCGCACGTTGTGCCCTCAGCCTTCAGCCGCTCCGCTTGGTGCATCACACGGTCGTTGGTGTCGGCCACTTGGTGCTGCAAAGTCAGTTCCACATTGGACAGGAGCTGGCAGGAGGCAACGGGGGGCTGGGGCGCAAACAGCACCTCGTACCTGTGAAGGGACGGCAGGAGAGCACAAAGCGCCACCACATCATCTCACTAATTCTAATAGCGGGAATGGAAAGAACAACCAGTACTTGTTGACTCACAATGCCGCCACGGCTTGAAAAAAGTCTTGACTACACTACATCACTACACTCATTGATGGAAAACAGATGCTCAATTTGACTATTTGGAGGAAATGTGGAGTACATTGGATCAAATGCAGTTAGGGCTTAAAGCCCGACCCCAGATTTGAGGGCGAGGCCCAGATCACCACTTCCCAATGAGGACCAGAAATGGAATGTGATGCCTCTGCATGTCCTTACTGTCTGTAGATGTGCTGGCAGTGCTCCACTGTCATGTCTCTCAGCAGTTCCTCCAACCAGGCCTTCCACTGGTGGGCGCGGTGAAGCAGCAGGGTAGACCGCGGGTACAGCAGAGCCACCGTGGCATAGCTGTGCAGCTGCTCCAAGCAGCCTCGGAGGGCCCCGCGGCGCTGCTGCAGCAGAGCGCTCACCTCCGCCTCCAGGCTCTCACACTGGCTGATGAGGTGGGCCTGGCCCGCGTTCTGCAGGAAGGCCGTGGCTGGCACATAGCTAGGAGGGCCTGGACGGGACGGACAGCAAACAAGAAAGTATTCACCACGCTGGTTTAGAGATATTAAATGACTCATTGGTAAGTACATCATGTGGAGAATGGTTTTTATCCATTCTAATCCTACCCAGATCTATGGGGCTGCTGATGTCCTGCAGTAAGCTGGCCAGCTGGGCGGCTTCCAGGTTGGAAAATGCCGCCTGGTACTGGGAGATCCACTGGTCCAGGTCCGCTAGCTTGCTCTGAATGGCCTCCTGCACAGTCCGCTGCCGCGACTGCAGCTGGGTGTGTTCAGAGTACCTGTGACAGGGAGGGCTGCTTAAACACGCGTTCAGAGGCGTCTGCACCAAGAGAAGGAAACAACTAAAGACGCGCGGGTCCTTCAATCGGTGCCGTCTCAGACCTTTGCTCCAGGGTGAGGATCAGATGGTCGGGGTGGTTCTCTGCCTCCTCCAGGAAGGCCATCTCCTCTTGCAGTTTGGCCTGTAGCTTCTCCCCCTGGCAGAGCAGCTCCTGCAGGACCAAGTACTCCTCCACAGCCTCCTCTACGGACGGCAGCACTGCCAGCATCTCATCACGATTCTTAAACCAGTTCACCTGCACACAGTCAACACAGTCCAACTTCATAATGGTACGTGCATCTTCTCCAACCCGACGACGCAGCTCTACCAGCGCGTCCCTGTTTCTGGTAAACTAACGTTTGGTCTGATGATGCAGGGATGACGGACAGCCATTATCCTTGCTTGGTTGGTTGTAGTAAACGTAAATAAACAAGACATGGTGTGAGTGAGCTTGGGAAGGGACCGTTCAGATGGACAACAGCGGCTAGTAGCCGGCATTCCTGACTTCACCTTGATCTCAGCCACCCGGGAGGAGAACAGAGAGCGCGTGATGTCCCTCTCCATCTCCCTCTTGCTCTGCTTGTTGTCAGCCTGCTGGCCTCCTCCTCCTCCATACACGGCACCAGCAAAGCCCACTTCCCCCCCGGCCGTCCAGTCCACCAGGGGATCATAGACGAAGGCCTCCAGCAGAGTGAGCAGGGTTTCTCTGCCGCGACGCATCATCTGAACCACCTGAAGCGACAAATCAGACTTCAGCAGAGCAACAAACACAGAGGGAAGTATCTACAGAGATCAGGGCGACGTGACAGTGACCTGTTCACAGGACAGCCTGAAGATGCCCTCAACGCCAGTGACTCCAAGGGCGGTCTCAATGTTGTGGGTCATCCTGAATGGGACCTTCTCCGGCACCCGCAGACTCTTACCTAGTGACCCACGCGGAACAATGGAGACATTAGACCTCATGGTGTGTGTGAGTGATGCATGACCTGAAAGGAGACGTTCTATACAGCACAATGTTGATTTGGTAGAGAACGGGCTCAGAGTCACACAGACTAAAGCGTGTAACCTCTGCAGTAGTGCTCGAGTTAACCCCGTGGAAACTGACCTTTTTCGAAGCATACGTTGTAGTCAATGTGCACCACTTCTCCAGTGGTCATGTCAATCAACACATTGTCAAGGTGGCGGTCGCCGAGGCCGATGATGTACCCCACCATTGACATGACAGCGGTGGATCTGGCGTAGGACTGCAGGACAAAAGAAAATGAATTAAAACCCAACAGAAGACGGGCGAGGAAAAGCTTTGACCGCACGCTTCAATTACCTGAGTGACCCTCCACCACTCGCTGGGCGTGGTGCAGGAACACCACAGCTCTCTGGCCAGCAGGCTGGAGGGCGTGGTCTCCATCAACTCTTTCAGCACCTCCTTCATGACGCTCAGAGGCCAGTCTCGTCGAGTCACATCCAGGCTGAGCCCCACCGCCTTCAGGGCTGGCCCGATGCGGCTGTAGTACAGCTCACTGGGACGAGGTACTGGAGGCACTGGCTGCTGCTGGAATGAGTCTTGGGCCTGATGAGGACAACAAATAGACATTTAGCTCTGGACAGAAGCTTTCCTGCAGCGACTTTGATGACCAAACTGAGGCCGTTCACCAGGTTCTCATCAAGTAAAGAGTTTGATAATCGGATTTAGCAATCTGCCAGAGAGAAACGCCATCATCCATCGTGCGCCTCCACAGATCCCATCGATCTACGAGGACACTCACCTTTTGCGCTAGCAGTACGGCCTCCCTCTGCTGCCACCGCTTGTAGAGGCCGAAGAGCGGCGTGGCTCCGTCCACCCACTGGATGAGTCCCGACCGCGTCCCGAGGGGGGTGACCGAGTAGTGGCGAGCGTGGAAGTGCGGCTGCTCTTGCTGGTTGATCTTGGTGAACATGGTGTTGACAATAGAGAGGAACTGCATGATGCGCTCGTCTAAATGCAGATCCTCCAGACCTGAGAAAAACAAGTTGGGAATTACTTCAACGATCCATCACAACAAAACGCAGCAGAGTTCAACATTTGAGTTTTTCCCCACTTTTCCCTTTTTTCCCTCTTGTAAGGGTTTTTTCATTTTTTGGGGAGTTTTTCCTGTGCCGATGGTGGGTTTCGGGGCAGAGGATGATGTATGTGTACAGACTGTAAAGCCCTCTGAGGCAAATTTGTAATTTGCGATTCTGGGCTATACAAAATAAAATGACTTGACTTGACTTGACCCACTTCATAAAAACTCAAACCTCTTAAACCCCAAAGCTCACACGGATCAGATTCAACAGCAGGATGTAAGCCATTTGTACACGCTCCAAAACCAAACAACTAAATGAATTACCAACGTACCATCCCTGGTCATCCCACTCGCCGCATTTCTGCCTGTACGTAAATACTCACAGTATCTCAGATTAAAGGTGACAGGCCACAGACGACCTAGAAGTGAGTCCTGCTAACCGAAGATGTCATTTCCCTGTAATTCCACATTGAAGCAGGTTCATCTGCTGCGCTCAGATCATCCTGGGCGGTTCCAGGTGACGTGTAAGGTGGAATGGCAGCGACTATTATTTTATTATTATTATTTTGTTTCATTTGTGCCTGAAATTTCCGTTATCCACCATGGAAATAAATAACCACTATTTCTGCTCTTTATTTGTTGTGTTCGGGTTCGTGACGTCATCCGTCGCGGCGCACAGCTTGAATCCTCCAGGAAGTGCGTCTGGATGACGGCGGCTTCCAGGCTGCTTCAGGCGACCAGTCGCGTCTGTGCTTTGACTTTGCATGGAAGCTACTCGCGCAAATAATTTGCTTCGCTTTTGGTCTTCTGTCAACCACATGTTTGCATCACTGAAATCTATTGGCTCGAACGATTGAAATGAGATATTGTCACTCAAATCAAGTATACAAGTGAAATATATCATTTGGTACTTTGGTAGAAAATGCAAGCGGCCATTTAACACTCTAAGGTTGCAGAGAGAGACTCTTTTTAAAAATGGGTATGCACATTGTGAGCAGAGGCCCAAAACATGGGCGGGTTTAAGAGGTTAAGGCCTCATTTCCTGACTTGTAATCGATGCAGTGGTTCTGTCATGTGGTAACCTGGTTTTATTTGCCACGCTCTTTACTTTTATATTGATTTAGATTCACTCGTGTGTAGCTTCAAGATGCCTCCAACTACAGTCAACCAGCACAACAAAGTACATGAGTAGTCATTGGTCCACTTCACCATCTCCCACCTTTGAACAGGTAGGGGTAGTTGCGTCCGTCTGAGCCCAGGAAGAAGAGCTTCTTGGGCTTCGTCTTGGTGGGCAGGATAGTGATGGTGTTGCCCACGCTCTGTATGGTGACAGCGTCCGATGCAGACACCTCGCCGGGCAGCGCCATCTCTGTGGTGGTCATGGACATCAGGCGAGGACTGATCTCATCCAGGTGGAGCAGGTAGCTGGCTCTCTTCTGAGCACGCTGCTGAAGGCTCAACATGATCTGACACACAAAACACAAGACTCAAGATTGAAAAAGCTTTTGTAGACTTTGTGTAATCAAGACTGAGGAGCTCTCTGAAGACATCAGTACCACAGAGAGCCTTCACATCTTCAGACTCCTTATGGTTGAAATGTACTTATTGTAAGTCGCTTTGGATCAAAGTGTCAGCTGCGTGACATGTGATGGAATTACAGATGCAATAAACCATTATCGAGCACACATGGAACCCTGAGGGGATCCACACCTGTTTGAAGGGAAGCCAGCTGCTGGCCGGGTTGGCAGGGTTGGAGGGGTTCCTCAGGCGCTCCAGGGCCGAGGTGATGGAGTCCCCGTAGGTCTGCTGGAACCACGTCTCGTGTGGCGTCTCTGCTGGAGCCGCTGTGATGCTGCAGACGTGATCCAGGGCGAAAACCACGGGGCGCATCAGAGCAGAGTGCTTCTCGCGCATGATGGCGGTCTTCTCGTCTCTGCAACACAACAGAGGGGACTAAACCTTCAAATACAGCATGGACCTTAAACAGGTGGTATCTGTAGGCTACGGCACATTTAGACAACCTCCCGTGCAAATCAGATCGTTAAAGGGATGATGGACAATAAAGGGATTTTAACCAAAAAAATGCAGCTGATGGTACAGAAAGAGCTCACACTGCTGATCTCATCCAGTGAGGATTTAGACAAAAACACTAAAGATCCAGGAGAAGTAAGAGTCAGTTTGTGTCCAATCTCATCTATTCATCATTTAAAAAACATCAACACACTGAAGGAAGCTTCCCAGCAGGTCAACAGACGTTCTCAAACCTCACTGCTTCAGTAGCAACACAAGCTCCTGCGTGCAGGTCTTTCTTACCACTTGTGCATTCTAGATGATTCTAATCATTCTGGATTTATACTCTCTAACTCTACAGAAAGGCTTTACACTGACACACGTGTGAATGGTTTTGTAAAGACTTACACAGGAGTGACTCAAGCAGGAGAAGCTGAATGTTATCTAATAAGTTTGAGATGAAGGCAGCCTTCTGGTCTCTGACCGAGTCTCACCTGCGCAGCGTGTTGTTGTTCTGGACTCTCTTGACCTCGTCCTCCAGCTGTTGGATCCGTCGCAGGACGTGCATGTGCTGCTGCTGCAACACGCCCAGCCACAGCTCGTCCCACAGCAAGGTCACTCTGCGCAGCTCACCCACCAGCTGCTGGACCTGGTCAGCACAGAGCAGCAGCTAGGAGCTTGGATTCAACCCTCTCAACACTTCCCACTGCCTTCATGGCCATTTCTGCCAATCCTTCCTTCAGTATCCTCAAACCAAATATGCATTACAGGTCACTTAGCTGACGCTTTTATCCCAAGCGACTCCCATGGTTTTACATTTTGGCCGGGGAGCAATTAGGGGTCAGGTGTCTTGCTCAAGGACACTAAGGACACTTGGACAAGATACTAGTAGGTGTAGTAGAGTAATAGAAAACGGTCGTTACATAAAGATGAATGAATGAAGGATTCATTGAATAATAGTGGCTGGTCATGCTGCATAGTAAAACGGGTGGTTCTAGGCAAAGCTCAGAAGAACAGTGCACTTCCATTTAAAAGTGTATCCGTGACAGGAAAACATACCGGCTGCTTAGCAAAAGTGATGTCAAATGCTTTAAAATGGCAACCAAAGGCAGAAAGAAACCACAATCTACCAAGGATCAGCTTCAGGGGATGAAAGAAGTACTGCAACAATTACAAGCTAAGCAGGAAGAGCATCTGCAGAAGAACACATCGACTAGCCTGAAGTGGGTGTGGGGATGTTCCCCCTGCTATGGGGTCATGGGTACGTCTGCTTTATGCCAGAGAGGAAATGCCATTGACAACGAGTGGCATCTCTGGGCCCGCCCATCCCAGACCTCAACCCAGCAGAACCCTTACTGGTGACACAAACAGACCGATGGCCTGGAGTCCAATGGCAGCAGGTTGACTGTAAGCACCACAGACAGAGCCGTTCACAGGTAATCACACCACAGTGTGTGGAGGCGCTGGTGGTGCCGGGCTCCCTCCTACCTGAAGCACCATGGTCGGGTTGGCAAAGGACAGCTTCTCCACGATCTTGCTGTAACAGTCCTGCATCATGGCTTGGTCCTGACTGGAGTAGAACGTTGCCAGCTCTTCTGGGGCCGCTCCTGGCTCGCCACTGTCTGGCGCCTCCTCCTCCGCCTCCGCCTCCGCCTCCTCCTCCTCCCCACCGAGGCACTTTGCCTGCATGCTGCCCAAGAAGGTGGGCAGAGCTGACGGAAGTTTACTCCCTGACAACACAGTTCAGATTCAGAGTATTTACATTGTCAATGAGCTTACTGAATAATAATCATCCATTACAGGCGGCTTCTATCTTCTGACCAGAGGCAATTGAATGAACGAGAGCCGTTCTAAACATTGCCATCAATACCGGCGTTCTGAGCTTCCCCTCCCAGGGAGAGCGAGCCCACGATGGCTGGGTAGAGGATGAGGTGGGGAGAGTCCTGGGCCACTCGACACAGCAGGCTGCATATGCTCTGTCGGATGTAGGCCTCTGGGTGGTTGAGGCGGGAGAAGAGCTGCGGTATGATACCTGAGGAGGACGACAGCAGGGTTCATGTAGGCCGCAGTCAGCTGGAAATGCTGCTGAGAAATTCCCTCAACTGTAACAGAGAGGGTACTCAAATCTGATCCCCGTGTCTCGTTCAACATGGACCATTAGATCTCATCTTCTCAGAGTGCACCTGGTTACAGGACCCCGTCTTCATCAAACAGATCTCAAAATAAAAGTGTTCCAGGCCAGTGGAATCATACAATTCCAAACACTGAAGGTGTTTCCCAGAAGAGAACATGAAATGATATATATGTACACACACACACACACAATCCCTGTACAATCTAATTTGTCTACGCACTCTACACACGCTGAGACTGAAGGTACAAGTTAGTTGCCCCTCTTGGGATAAATAACGTCTGATGCATTTCAAACATGGACTATTGGTGAGAGCTGCAGACACACAGCGTCTCACACAGCGTGAGCCACATGGTGTTCTTAAGGACCCTCAAAGTGAACCAGGTTGATGCGTGTCACTTCAGCAACATCAGAGCATCCACCCGTCTCCCCGAGAGGGTCCCAGGTCCACTCACATATTGCTGTGGGAACAATACAGGCAGCGAAGACAGCAAAAAGTAATGTGTGTACGGTTAGGACGCTGTACATTTAATGTTTGAACGCATTATGTGCCTCCCGTTGCCCTGTAGTGTGACCTACCCTTCCAGGGTGCAGTAGGGGTGGAGGCTAAGCCCAGCTCCAGCCCCTCCCTCAGTTCACCAGCATGTTTCACCAGCAGACGGAGGAGTCGCAGGGTTGCCATGACGATCACATCGTCGTTGCTCTGCTTGCTGTTGTGATAGGACAGCAGGAGTTTAGGGTCATCCTCATCTACGGGGACCTAAAACACACAGGAGACATCTGGAATGAAGGCCCTCAGTCGTCTCCACCAGCGCACATGGCTGCAGTATGACAGCATGCCGCGTGACCCGGCTGCCATCGAGCCGGGACCAATCTATCCAATACCCAGTCACCCCCCACGCCCAAATAAAGGGACAGGAGGGGGCAAGCGGGTACGGAGCCCAGGTGAGACGGTGAATCCACTATTGTACGGAGCGGCAAAACCACGGCCTCACCTGTCCAGCATTGAGCTTCAGGAAGGTAAAATAGGCCTGGCAGGAGACCCGGTAAAGGCCGAAGATTCGGTCCACCACCCGTCTCCAAACCCGGATCAGACCGTCTGTGACAGGCTGGCCCGCCTCCCCCAGCCAGGGGCACGAGCATGTGAGCTGCCGCCAGATCACGTCCACCATGTCGTCCTCCTCGTCGTCCTGCTGCAGAGCCAGGTCCTCGTCCTGGAGACGGTCAGCACGGCGTCACATTACAGAACACAAGTGCATCCACCGGAGACTTTAGGGACAACATGTACACACAGAGATACAGTGTAAATACCTGTATGCCAGTAGGCCGACACATGGCCTGTCCCAGAATGCTAAAGATGGTGTCCTTGTCTTCTTCGCTGGTGGTGGCTGGAAGCAGCTCCTCGATCTCCTTTTTTTCCCCAGAGAGAAGAGGCAGCCCCTCCCCTTGGCTGGGAAAATATACATCTGTCAGTGCACCGTTTCTAGGGGTGATGCATCGGTTGAGTTGAACGAACTGACAACACCACAACATTATGAAGAATGGATTGAATTAAATCCCAGCTCACACACACCTGGCATTATCCACCACCTTCCGGCCCCAGCGGTAGGCCCAGCTGGCCAGCGCTGCCCAGGACTTGGCCATCTCTGGAGCCAGGCTGGTGGACATCTGGTAGAGTTGTCCCAACACGAAGTCCGGCTCCCCAACTCCTACACTCACTGCACAGGGAAGGAGCAAAGACCCCCCGTCACTTCACCGGGGAAAACATGAAATGCAAACAAAGTGCATGTGGCACTCCAGGTCTTATGTCTGTCCAACGGGGGTGTAGTTAATAACTACAGCGATGGATAACCGTTAAGAACATGAGGTGAGCTGCTGTTAACTAAGGAACATACAGCCGGAAGTTCTGGCACCCCTGATAATCTCCATACTTTGATTTATATATTGTTGGGCTTTGTGTTATATATATATATAATATATACTATATACACTAAAATGACCAGTAATTCCACAGGAGTTGTTTCACGGATATTTAAGAGCTCGTCTCTGGGGATTGTAGCAGAAAACCAACACAACAGGAAGTCGTCCGGGGAGCCGCCTTGGAAGGAACCATCTGCAGCGGGACGACCTCGCAGGTCTTTGGAGGTGGTCTGAGGGTTGTCCTTGACCCGTCTGACCATTATTTGCCTTTGCCACTTTGTATTCTTTCTTGGCCTTAACACAAACCGGGGCTGCTTCCTTCAATGTCTTATTAACAAAAGAGGAAAGAGCCGAAACCCCCAGGATGACCTTATGCTGGCCTTCCCCTAAAGCACACTGCTGAACAAGCATTTGAATGCACACTGCTCCGTGGGGAATCCATTGACTTCCTTAATAATTCCCTTTCTATGGAATGCAAAGCGTAACGAGCTAATGAGGCTAAGTTAAAAATGAAGATTGTACCACTGCAATCTGTGTTCGTGAGGAACAAGCAAAGGGGTGCCTGCACTTTTGCATGAGACTACTTCCTCCACATTTCACTGGAACTCATCCCACCACACAGCAGCCTTTACGTGTTAAGCCCCGCCCCCTGCAGCGTCTCCAACAAGCCATAAGAGCTCCCCTACAGTTGGTCTCTATTCAGAGTAGAAAATAAGTAATATACATGATGCATTATGTGTATATTATGCAGGTGGCCTATGTGGACTGTCGTGTTACCGGAGGTCTCAGCTGTGATGTGGGGGATCCCCTGGTCCTCAAGGGGGAGCTCAAGCAGAGCAGCAACATTGCGGCTCAGAAGGGAAGCATTGGACGAGTTCACGGCTCCAGACCTCTTCACCACCTGAAGCAGAATACCAGCAGTCCTTTAAACAATGCCACACAGAAGAACTACACTACAACTGGGCAGATTTCACATGGTGAAAGGTTATACGGATTGTGGCAGTAATTGTACTTTAATACAGTTGGGTCTTCTTTATCCAACACCCCCCGGCCTAACGGATACAGTATTGTTGCCTCGCTTTACTAAAGCCATGCTTAAAAAACCCAAATTGTTATACTGTAAAATGTAGTTATTTGTGGGAAACTGGTATGAATGCTATTTACTTTAAGATGTTTTCACAGCAATATAAAGTAGATATTGAAGAAAAATGAAAAACGAAGCCTATAACACAGCATTAGATGTTATCCTACTAAAAATCAAATACAATCATTGGAATTTGGTGTTAATACAAATAACCACTGTAAAATTTTAGTCAAGAGTGTCCAATAAATTGAAATAAAATGGAATTGAAGTCTGTTTTTGGCCCACACTTACCTGTGCATCTCTAAGCTATACTCACACATAAAGGGGACAACATGCTTGGATGCATAGAGGACTCTGCGCCATTACCAACATGCAAATGTCAGCCTCATATAGTGATTGTAGAGCGGTGTTGGAATGTGAGCATGCCTGTTTAAGCTGAGGCGTCATGTCCTTCCAGTCGGCCAGCAGCCATTTGCTCAGCGTCAGCAAGGAGCGGCAGGCGGCGCCTTCGTTCTTCCCCAGCTGGCAGTAGGACAGTGCCGCCCCGCTCAGCATCTCCATGGCCGCCATCGACTGACCTGAGGGCAGAAACAGAAAACTGACGTCCAGAGCAACTTTACAACACACTGGAGACGCTTGGTAAAACCTGTGTTGGCCTTCATGTCCTGAGAGCCGAGTTGTGGGCTCACTCTTAGAGACGCATTATGATTAGACGTAAAAAGCACTAGTGACTTGTAGCTCTCTATGTATCTCTCGTGTTTTCTCGTTGTTCTTGCTGAACTAAATAGCGGTTCGTCAGTGACTACTGTTGATCACCTGCAGTTCTCAGGACTTTGGCTTTTTCGATCTGCAGCTCTGGGCCCCACTTCTCGCCCAGAGTGCCCTCCAAGGTGAGATGCCTGAAGGCCTGGTTCAGCTCGTCCAGCTGATCCTCTTCCTGTGTCCTGTCACTACATTGGCTGAGCAGACGGGATGCCAGGGCGATGTTGCCTTTCTTCCGAGCAAACTTGACAGCGGTCAGACAAAGCTCCATTAGGTGGCCGTCTATGGTGGAAGAGAAACCTGGACAAGAATGGACACGGCAATATTAGAGCCTGAAGACAAGTACATTTTTGTCAGATATCAGCCCTATTTTACAGCCTTATGTAAACAGTTCGTGTTGCATTGCTTTCTATTGGTGAACCAGCAGTGGCCATGCATTCTGAAGACGATAGTACATTTAAAGGCTTTGTCACAGCAGAGACAACAGGTCAGAGCTAGAAACATGAACACCAGCCGGCGGGTTTAACCTTCAGCCAGAGAGGGTTGTACAAGGGGACAGGTGGGGGTGTCACACATTGTCATTTTAGGCAGGGTCCATACACATTTTGACCAATTGATTTCCATGACCAAACAAGTTGTGAAATTTTATCTGTAGACATAAAAAGTGAGAAAATATTTAAAACTAACAATGACAATTCCTAAGTTCTGTTCCCCCGGCATTCAATTGGGCCTCTGTTTTTTATGTTTACAATTATCTACTACGGATGAGTATCGTTTGGGTTTTCCTGATACCAGTGCTAAAACAATACTTTAAAACATACCGGTGCCTAAACCAACACATTTTTGTTCCTTTCTTATCTTTTACTTTACAGCTTATTTTAGCTGACACTTTTATCCAAAGCAACTTACATTACATTTTTAACCCATGGCTTTTTACATTTTTTCCTGGGGAGCAATTAAGTGGTGTCTTGCTCAGGGACACTTGGACAGGGGACATGGTGCAGCCGGGCCTTGAGGTTCGCGGCGCACCGTCTCTACCCGTCGTTGACCCGTCAACCCGCCACCCGGAAGTGGATGTATTACATCGTTGGAATATCATGAAAAGAATAAAACAATCTCCTGTTATTCACGTGAGGAAATGAAGTCACATGTCTCCAGCTAAATGACAAACACCACCAAATCAACGCCACGAAGTAGCTTCGCTAGCAGTCGCCCTCTGATGGGGTTGGTGCAGCAGCTTTGCTAGCAGTCGCCCTCTGATGGGGTTGGTGCAGCAGCTTCGCTAGCAGTCGCCCTCTGATGGGGTTGGTGCAGCAGCTTCGCTAGCAGTCGCCCTCTGATGGGGTTGGTGTAGCAGCTCCGCTAGCAGTCGCCCTCTGATGGGGTTGGTGTAGCAGCTCCGCTAGCAGTCGCCCTCTGATGGGGTTGGTGTAGCAGCTTCGCTAGAAGTCGCCCTCTGATGGGGTTGGTGTAGCAGCTTCGCTAGCAGTCGCCCTCTGATGGGGTTGGTGTAGCAGCTTCGATAGCAGTCGCCCTCTGATGGGGTTGGTGTAGCAGCTTCGCTAGCAGTCGCCCTCTGATGGGGTTGGTGTAGCAGCTTCGCTAGCAGTCGCCCTCTGATGTCTGCTTACTTTAGCATGGGTTGTTAATGTTGCTCTCCCGTGTTTGGACATGGACTTGTTCGCTACTAGGACCCTGAAGCAGCTATAAAGATGGTATCCGACCCCTCTCACCTGTTTGTGCCCCTTCCATCTGGCAGGAGGCTGAGGTCCATCAGGACTAAGACCTCCCGCACACACCAACAGTTTCTTCCCGTCGGCAGTCGGGCTCATCAACAGAGCCGGTCCCCCACTGACTGACTCTGACATCCCACCGGTCACTTTCACTTTCTGCTCGCTGGTGCACTTTATTTTTAACTAACTTTTATTCCTTTATTTTAACTAAACCCAATAGCCCTATCTTTTACCCATAGCATATCTAATAATATTTAATTTATTTTATTCCTTGTGCAGTTGTCTTGTCGGTCCATTGTCGTACAGTCTGCTGTTACGGCACCAACCGCCAGGTCAGATTCCCCTGTATGTCTGACATATTATGGCAATAAATGTTTCCTGATCCCCAATTTGGAAATATCTAATGTTTGGCCTCAATTACTGCTCTTCTCGTCCCGGGTCTTTGTCGTAACTCATGACTCATGTACTTATCCATATGTAGCAAACATATGTTGGTTAAACCGTGGTTAAATCTTCACTTCCCTGCACAGTTTTATAACTCATAGAAATATAACTCATTTCCATGACTTTTCCAAAACAGTCTATTTAAAAATAAATTTTTATTTATAGTTTCAAGCTGCCTTTTATTTAGACCAGGGGCCTCAAACTCGCGGCCCAATTGCGGCCCTCGGGACGATATTTTGTGGCCCCATCCTTAATATGAAAGTGTAATGTTAGTGCGGCCCGCAAGTTTTATACTGTAACCCCACTGTCAGCTGCTGTGTGGGACATGTTATGATGTTCTGGTTTCCTACTGTGTGCCTGTCCAGTGAACGTGGCATGCATGTGACTGACATGGGGGGCGGGTCGTGTGTGTCGGCGAGGTGCAGAGAGCAGGAGGGTGAAATTCAGTTTCCTGCCCTCTTTCGCGCAGGTGATCATGTGACTAACCGTTAGCATCGCTCGTTTAATAAAGTTTTCCTTTACGACTCACACTAACAACACATGAAGCATCTGACGTCACCGACGAGCGTCTCCGTCCATTACTACGCAGCTTCGATTCACGTAACTTCACGTTTGGCTATAAAGGAATTCCACGGTCACATGACCTTAGGTCTCCCCCGCTGAGTTAAAGGAGGACTAGTGTTGTAGTCTCATTCGGACCGATCCCTCAGGGTGGGGTTCAATGACTGCTTTTGAAAGTGAGTGTTAAGTTGTGTTATTGTCGACCATGCCGTTCGGACGCTAGTCTGTGGGCTGCATCTGGCCCACAGCTGATTTGAGTTTGAGACCCCTGATTTAGACGCTGCCTGTTATTTAGACGCATAACAAAAAAATGTCATACAGAAAATGTGTGTGACTGCTGAAAACTGAACATTAATTGCAAAACATTACAGAGGAATGAACCGTTCAACTAAAATTTGTATGACAAAGTATTACAAAATTTTACTGAAAAACTATGAAGTTTAATAAAATGAAACGGACAAGATATCTAATGATTTAAACAGGAAAGGATTTTTGAGAAAAAGAAAAAGGACAGAGCATCACTACTGCCAACGCACTTGGTCTAATGACTTAGTTTACCTTTGAGTTTTTGGAGGAGTTGCCTCTGGAACATTGTGTATCTGAGGGCCTGAAGGAAAGGCTGCACATCCTGTTGCTTACAGGAGCTCAGCGCCTCACTGCACAACGGAATCACGCAGTCCTGCAACAAATATACACAACAAACAGGTTGAAATTCACCCTCCAGCTGGAGGCCAAGAATAGCCTACGTACACTACACTAGAATAATAGTGTACTGTAGATCGCATTCACACTGTGCTGCTTTGAGGCTCCATTGTGACATTCATTTCCCATGAGCCCATTAATGTAATATTTTGGTAGAATCTGCACACCACGTTTTTATTGGCAGTAGATGCTCTGGTTACCATGACGATGTAACCTCGTACCCGGAGCCAGCGTTAGGAAAGTTACCTTTCTGACTAAGTAGGAATCGGACTCTGGCTTATCCGTGGCAGTGGTTCAGTTAGAGCCCCGCGGCAACACATGGGGTAAACTAACTGAAGCCATCAGCCCAAACCGTAGGTCCTGACTTGTGCAGTGCGAATGAATGTGCAGAGCAGGAAAGTGAAACTAGCTCCAACTATCAATCTCTTTTTAAAAATCATTCTGGAAGTCAGCAACGTGTAACTTTACCTATAAGGTTATCAAACAAATGTAGAGTCAGGGAGCACATACTTCCTGTCCCGTGAGAGTGTTCTCCAGGGTGGCGGTGCAGTGGAGCTGCAGGGTGGGCAAGGTTGGCAGCGCATCCGACAGGGTGAGAGTAGACAGGCGAAGAGGACCCAGGCAGATGCGTCCGGTCTGCTTCAGGCAGCGTACCAGCGTGCTGGAACGTCACATCACATGTTTATCTTAGAGGAAGTGCACTTCAAGCTTTTCAGACTTCAGACATGCTTGTGAATCTCAGCCAAAACTCTTTTAAATGGTTGTTACCAAACTATTGATGTACATTTATAACACTGCTTCTCTTCACCTGTCGGTGTGTGCGCTGCTTAAGCCCCGCCCCCGCTTTCCACAAGGGACAGAGGATCAACTTAAACGTTGGTGACGTTCATTTTTACGTAAAATGAACATCGCAGCACCAAAAATGATGATCGCACGCGATTTCAGATTGTGTGCGTTATGTCATTTTATGGCATATTGCGACCGGCCTATGAACCTCGAGGACACTTACTCTGGGTTGGCTGTGGTCTTGTGCTCCTGCTGCTCATTGACTTTAGTCATGGCGCTGACCGCGCTGCGGAGGAGCTGCACCTCGATTGCTCTCTGCAGCTCAGTGGGATCTGGACTCATGGAGGGCAGAAGCCTTTTCAGATCTGAAGAACCACAATACACACCTTTAAAGGGCTGACTGCAAATGTAGACTCAACTGCATTGTAGATTAGTTTCTGCTTATATCACACTTACTACATTGTCGTTATCAACAAAAGACCATTACTTATTTACTATTTAAATAATGAAAATGCACTACAAGTATACACCATTATACTTATAACACCATTATACACAAGAACTTCTCAGAAAACGGTGACAAATAATCCAGTTCAATGGAAAACAATGTCCATGCATTTAGCAAGCAGAAAAACATAATAGAATAGTGTAGAAACAACTTGGGTGCTAATTCATCAAAGGAGAAAAATAACATTGGGTTTAAATGGGGGTTTACAGTTGATTTTAGCAGGAAGGTAGAGAAGTAAGTAAGTGTTGGTCCCTCCATCATGCTGGCAGACCTCCCAACATGAGGGGCCAATCAGCTCAGAGCCCTGCTGCTGCCAGTGAAGCAGCAAATAGACGGTTTACTTCTGGGAGCTGACATCTTACCCAGCTTGTCCTTGCTGCTGGAGAGCGAGCAGTCTTCTCCAGGCAGCAACTCCAGCTGAGCTCCACACTCTGCCAGGTCTCCCTCCTCAAAGCGGCTCAGCGCCTGGATGTAGTTGAAGTCCGTCCTCAGGTTGATGCTGAGCGGACTGCTGGAGTTCTGTTTGAGGGCGTGCACAGCGGCCTGCCACTCCTTCACAGAGCTCCAGTCGCAGAGGGCCACGTAGCACTGGCAGGCTTTGTTGGCCAGGAAGTTGATGACTTCAGGAGAGCACTCGACGGACTTCAGCAGCACCGTCTTCTTGCTGTCACCTTTTCAGAGGAACCACACGCGCATCAGTGCTCAACAAGCTACAAACACACCTACTTAGAAAAGAGCTGCAGTACGTGTGTTTCACCACCTCATTGGCTACGGGGGGAGAGGCGGCCAAGGCACTCAGCGCTTTGTAGGCCTCTGCTCAAAATTGCATTTACACTCCAATGCTGCATTCACACCAAAACCGCTGGAGATGAACGAATATAGATTCAAATAGCTGGATCAGGTATCCCTGACAACGGGCCCATCGGCCGCCAGACTACTTCTAAACAATGCGTCTAGCCTGCGTGACAGTCACGTCTGCCTCTGGTCTTTTCCTCAATACATTTTACTAGTGTCAATGTGAAAATAAATACATGTAAGGGGCCCGGCACTAATCAACAGTCAACTTGTCATTTATGTCATCGCTCTATGAAATGAGCTTGTGGGGTGAAGACATAATGACTGAGTGGACCCTTGCTGTTACCGTTGCTGGTGTGATTGGGGCTGCTTGTGTTGCTGGAGAGTTTGAGCAGGCAGCAGTCAGAGCTTTTGATGCTGCAGTCCATCCCGGTGACCGCAGACAGCTGATCTTGATATTCCAGAGCTGCCTTTTCAAATCTAGGAAAAACGCTTGCTGTTAGGTAGGACAACCAAAGAGGATGCTTTGGATGCTTTACTGAGCACTTGGCTTAGCGCTGCTTACCGCCCTTCAGCCTGCAGGGCGACTGCCGCCAGCCAGCCGGGACTGCGACCAGTGGTGATGAGCCCCCATGCGGCCAGGCCCTGAATGGCCTCAGGACAGCGCAGCTCACACAGAGCCTCCACCAGCAACGTCAGAGGAACCTCCAGCTCGGGGCCCTTAGCATCCACCAAGCACATATCAAACGCTGCCATTATAGTAACTCATGATGTAAGAAAACACACACAAATACCTCCTCCTCTGATAGGCTGACCTGGGTACCGCAGTTCTTAATCTCCGTGAGCAGGTCAAAGCCGTGGCGGATGGTGACTGCAGGCTGGCCGGACAGAAGACCCACTCTCATGAGCGCCAGGCGGATCCTGGTCAGCCAGTCCTGGCATGTCTGCCGGTTGGTGTAGAAGAATGTCCTGATGCCCTGGGACACAGAGGAGGAGGAGCTCATCAAATAATTTCGGAACTGGCTCTTGTAATCAGCGGGGAGCTCTGGATGCACACCTTGGGTGGGGCAGTGAGCGCGTTGGCGCAGCCCTCGTACGCGTTGTACATGAGCTTCTCCAAGTTCTCCACGTACTGAAGCAGCAGAGCCAGGCGGAGCTGATTGGAGTGGTGACAATCCCCGTCTCCTCCGGCACCGGCCCACGCTCCCACGTCCTGCTCCGGGTTCACACTGTGAGCCGCCAGGCTCCGGATGATGCCTGAAGCACAGGGACACACATGGAACAGGGCTGGGACCGGCGTTAGATGCCACTCAACAGACGATAACGGCCATACGTCGGCTCTACCAGGGAGAGAACCTAAAGGAAACGGTCATCCATCATGGTGTGCATCAGAGGAGAAGAATGGGTGGGGATCTTTACCAGTTTCCTGGTTGGCTGGGATCAGCGTACTCAGAAAGAATATAGTAATATATAGTAGTATTAATACTGTACCCTGTGCACAGAATACCAGACTCTGCACAACAGCTTCTTCATGGCTTGGGAGGCAGGGCAAAAAGAAACGCAAGCAACAAGGAGGGCTGGGAGTCCAACATGACGCACTACACATGTGAGTGGGTGAATCTTCTGGAGTCGGGGCGACGCTGAACTGATGGAATACGGTGGTTTAGAGCATTATTGAGTCTTCTAAAGACACCTTCTGTGGACCATTGGCATCAAGGGATGTTGGAAGGTCTTCCCCTGGAAAGGTTGACCCCCACCCTCCATGGCAATGTAAAAGGATTCATGACTGGGTGGACCCCTCTAGGCTGGCCTTTACCCTGCCAGATTAAAAAACACGTTCAACCTGATGATGTAATGGAGATGTCCTCACCTCTGACTGGTGCTGTGATATTATTATTATTATATGCTGAAGTTGTTCCTTTTTTAAATGTAGGTTTCGCTTTATTCCTCCGCCCATTTATTTCTTGTCTCTCGTCTTCTCTGCTGCTCTGCACAAGCCGCACGGCTTTAACTGTAACGTGTGTCACTTAACCAACGCCACACTGTGGGAAGGAGACATTCAGGCTGCTCTGTGGGGCCCAATGAGGCACAGCCGCTTACCCTCGATGGTCTGGAAGGTGTCTTGGGCTCGGCCCAGAGGTGTTCGCAGTTTGGACAGCACGGTGAACTGCGCCGCCTCCCACACGGCCCACTGCCACAGCACCGCCTCCGTCTTCAGCAGCACCCGCGGCACAGCAGCCGGCCTGCCGCCGTCCGCCCCCCCTCGGCCGTCCCTCTTCTCCAGCCGCTGGCAGCTGTAGTACAGACGCTCCAGCCAGGGGTCCTTGCTGCGGACCGACAGCAGGAGATGTTTGGATGTGGATTCACCATCAGTCGCTACCGACTACTACTACTATATTTGAAGTCAACTGTGTGTTGAAATACAGAAAGCTGCACATATTTATTTAAATGTGCATGTAGAAAGGTCCAAGCACGAGTCGAAAGTGACCATGAGATACTGTGTCAAATGAAAAGAAACATTCAGATATTATGTAACAATAACTACAAAGAGATGAAGACACGCTGAGATTCCAATCCTGCCATAATAATGATGCGAACACATCCTGTCCTTTAACAGTTGATGTCACATCACACACACAAGGAAGGACCGACCCTCGTTAGGTAGGAAAATGCTTTCCAAAGAACTCCATCTGCAGTCATACCCGCCACGGTGCACAACTCCATACAGGATGAAGCTGATGAGGTCGCTGAAATCCTGGGGGTGGAAGGTGCTGCTTGGTGCGCGGCTCATGTGGTGGCGGATGGCCAGTGACATCTCCCGCATCTCAGGGTGGCTGTGGTTACTGCGGAGACACAACATTGGTAACTAGGATTTTAATCATCTCCAACAGGAGAACCTGAATCTGTGTATCATTCCTTTTTCCGTTATTCAAGTCAAGAAACGGGCCATTGGCTGAAACTAGTTTGAAAGTTTGTGAGCTAAATGACTTCCTGGTGTAACGTCTAAGAAGATGTGTGCACGCGCAGGCTCCTTGCAGCTGGTTGTCGACGTCACTACGGTCACAGAGGTGTCGCTTGTGTTTAACAACCTCACGCTGAGGAGCTATTGAACCGGGAGTCTGAATCGGAATATCTTGCCAACTTTATCGAACCGTAAAGGTTCTACGGACACTCACCCACTCACTGCAGCCTCATAACAAGCAGGGAGGACAGGCACGTCTGACGGACTCTCTGTATGTCAGAGATCAATCAAACTTCTAGGGAGATAAAATACGCTCCGGGTGGTATTTATTCTGCAGTTAGCGTGATTAGTAACGATTGAAAAGTCCTGAAGAGCGTTCCTTCTTTATTGAACCACTTTCTCAATGAGGAAAGACGCTGCAGACTCAGTCTGGCGTGACTCCTCTGTGCTCTGACTGCAGCTGGACTGGTTTCTGCTTCAGTCACGTCAGACACCACTAAAGTCTCCAATAACACCAGATAAGGTCGCTGGTCGCTTTTGACAGGAAGTCGCCACGAGGGTTTGGAAAGTCAATTTAGCGTGTGCATATCTTCATAATTCAGTCAGAATTTTGTCTTTTTTTGTGGCAGAAACGGGCTTACCTACTATTGAGACCGTGGTTTCTCATTTGAATAACAGAAAAACTAAATAGTTTTTGGTTTTTCGATCTATCAATTGAAAAACGAAAGAAGGATGATACACGGATTATCTTTCATTTGGTTCCATCGGCCTGTAATGTCACGTAGAATGCAACAGATAGATATTTGTGTATCCCCACCTGTGAATACCATAGACAGGAGATGTCAATCAGAACCTACCTCAAAGCCACATGGAGGGGGATTGTCCTGAGCAGCTTGCCATAGGCCTGCCTCACCCTCACTGCTGAGTGGACCAGCTGGACTCTGGAGACGTCCACACACCTGACGGACAGTACGGAGCAATAAGAGTCCCGCCCACAGACCCAATGTACGGACACACATTTTGTGTTGGATTCCAGTCATGTTGAACTTAACTGCTATTGTGTAAGGAGACACAACTAAGGCTGTAACAATGAATCAATCCAATTTAATATAAAGAAATCTATTATCATTATAGATTAAGTCAGAGATATTTGGCTATAAAGTACAAAAGAAGTGCGGTTGGCGTATCAGAGACTCGTAACGTTGGGAACCATGAAACATACGGCGGAGGCCGAGGAATCAGTACAGCCAGTGACGGAGTCGCTACACAATCCTACTTTGCTTCCTTTTGAAGGGAGGACGCGAGGAAGTACAAGTGTGTGTGTGGCGGGAGGGTGTGAAAGACCGAAGTGAGTTACTGTGATGCTCGATGCGTGTTGTTGGTCAGCTGTCGGCACGCAAATTACTGTTGATGGAATTATAATCGCCCCCCCCCCCCCCACCTAACATTCATATCACGCTATTTATTACGAGAGAACGGAGCAGATTGAAGAACTTTTGTCGGAAGAAATGCGTAAATATGAGCGCTTATACAAGCCGTCATTGGCGGGTTGGATTCACGGAGGGAGATCGCCGCAAACGAGGGGAACAAAGTTGTGGAAAATACGGCATAAGAAAAAATGTGTCCTTGATGAAAAGCAGCAGTGTGGATGCACGGGGCAATAAAGTCTATGATAAATAAATAAACAAATAGACGTGACTCTCTAGGTCGTCTTCAACAGAAACACGTCACTCTGCCTGTTGTTCTGGCGGTGAATCGCTCTGCAACACACGCAAGACTTTTAGAACCATGAATTGAAACGAGTGTGTCGACACGACGGCGCTGACGCAGAAACACGCGCCGGCCTTAAGTCGTTTTGATTTACGGTAAAACCAAAAACCCTCCAACCAGACACAGACCGTCTCTGGGGCACAAGTGGTGTTGGTGCATCTCTGGTCTCGCGTTGTTCCTCCCGCATCGCTCCATTATGCGTGATCACGTGACCTTCTCTTCATTGTGGGCGAGCTGCATGCACTTTTATGAATGTACAATCATTAATGTCACACGTTGTTTGTCGTGTCTCGATGTACTGACGTCATGATTGCAGCAGGTGCAACACGAGCGTAGTTTTCTACCGTGTAACACAATGTATTATTTCTATCTTTAGTTGATGCTTTGCTGCGTAAAATAAAGACAAAAGGAGAGAATCAAACGATCTCCTGTCATTCACGTGAGGAAATGAAGTCACGTGTCTGCAGCTAAATGACAGACACCACCAAAGGAACGAAACCCTCAGGGGGGGGGGGCGCGGTGGAAGCACACACGTGTCTGCCTGTGTCCATCGCTGTATAGATGTATAAATAAACGTGCATTTGACTTAATTATTACGTTTTAAAATGACTAAACCGCAATAGGCTCACCTCTGCAACAGCTCTGTGGACAGGGACGAAGAGAGGACCTGCAAGCTGTGGCAGGTCTGAAGGCAGATACTCTGGTCTTCGTTAAGACCTAAGGAAGAACATTGACCAACGATTAGTGCCAATAGATGACGAGGACAACCAGGGGACATTCGGGGCTCACCGTTGGCCAGCAGACCCCTGCAGAACTTGTTGAAGGAGGGAAGGGAGAAGAGAGGGCTGTAGGCGTCAGACTTCTTCAGCAGCACAGAGATTTCCTGAGCCCAGGTGAGCAGCAGCCTCCTGACCGACCAACACAACGGGTCACTGCGAGTGCACTGAAGAAACTGAGACGGGCCGTGGTGTAAATTGGCACAGTAAAAGAACCTGGCTTCGGGGTAGAGGTGCTCCTTGGCCAGCAGACCTCCCAGTAGACTCAGCAGTGTGCTGAAGTGCTTCTTTGTCGCCGTGGTGACGGTGCTGATGACTGCGCCATCGAATAGGGAGGGAGAAGATGACAGGCTGGAGGAGATGAAGTGATCGTGCCTGTAAAATCAACAGAAAAGACCCGCGGCCAGTTAAGAGGAGGCGGAGCCACAAAGCTTCACTGGGCAGAGCAGAGGAATCGGATCATTTCATATCGGTGTCCAGTGGTTCGAATGAGCCCTTCACATCTACATAAGCAGCAGGTGGGCTGCAGGTAACTAAATGCTCTGTGTAGAGCCGGTTTGACTCTAGAAAGATCTACGTCTGTAGATACGTTGAATTAGATAAAGACACCACTAGAATACTTCTTTTGTATGCCAACAATTAGTCAACTTATTGGTCTCACGAAGCAGTGTGGACAGTGTCAGCGGCCTGGTGCTTCCTACAGCTTTACAATGAGGTGGAACAGTTGGGTCGGCGCGGACGTTACCTGGTGCAGTGCGAGTAAAGCGTGTAGAGTACAGCGTACTGGATGGCCGGGTAGTACACCGCCAACTCAGAGTGGACCAGCATCAGATTGTGACTGAGCAGGGTGAAGACCGTGGGAGACAACGCCCACATCTAAAGACACACACGAGACACACGGGGACCTGAAGGAACGGCTCGTCTTCTGACACATCAACCGGAATCTAAGGAAGCATACGCACGACTAACGAAATGCAGGAAATACAAGGAGACACAAGCATGTTCACATCAGCTCATCTAGTTACACAGCAAGACAATCTCATTGATAAAACATCATATATATTAGTAGTAAAAAGTGGCCACAAACAAAACGTGGGGGGTCCTTCTGTCTTCAGCGCGTCTGAAGAAGGATGGAAGCTCAGAACGGGATTCGAGTGACACGTCAAAGCCTCTTAAACAGCCGTTTGCTCCCATGGAGCACAATTCTGCTGCTGCTTTCTTAACACGGACATCCCTGCGTGACGCTGTATATGGGCACTAACAGAATAGAAGCAGCGGACTCCTCTGAAGCAAGACCAAGAGCCTGCGATGGATCCACCCGGCTCACTGCAGGTTCAGCCTTCACAACTACCTGTGCTCACAGTACCAGCGGTACCCGGAGCGGGAACAGAACTCACCCCGATGAGAGAGTTCTTGGTGTTGCCGATGGTGGTGAGGGTGCTGAGGTTGAAGATGAGGGTGAACTGGGCCTTCTCCGGGGGAAGGGTGAGGGACGCATAAGCAGAGTGCTGGATGCCGGTGCAGGGGGCCGGGGCCCGACCACCGGCTTCCAGGGAGGCGGTCAGACTGGACAGGGCACATGCCATCTCCCCCAAAACCAATTTATAAGCTGCCTCCAGTGTAGGAATGTTCTTCAGGCTCAGAAGGGCCCGGTACACGCCGTGAACAGCCGACGTCACCTGTGAGTCCACACACACACACACACACACCTCAGCAGCTGCCAACACTTGATCCAGTGACGCCATCACATGGTTAGAATACAGGACTACATCTAGTTATACATGTCCAGTGACTGCTACTGTAGACATTTAGCTTTACAAAGAGTTTAATGCTGCTAGAGACTGAAGGAGGATCCACACACACACACACACCTCTTTGTCTCTATGGAAGCGCAGCTTCAGCAGCTGGGAATCCGGTGCCAACAGTTTCTCGACAAAGGACGCAGGCAGCTTCATGTTGATCTGGTCCACAATCTGAACGCAAACAACGACATCAGCTGACAGGAAGAAAAACAAACAATCCAAGTTGCTCTGAATGATGTATTCATTTCAAATACAAATAGGTTTTCCTTCATTCCGCTTCTTTTAAAGAAATAACATTTCCCAATACAAGTCAAATGTAGCTTCACATGGAAGGGAGAGCAGTGCAATCAAACCAATGAGGAGCTGCGATTCAAATGCTCCAGATCATCCTTTTGGACTTGATGCAACTCTAATCAGCGGCAGTACCAGAGTGACGAGGCTGAGCACTGCCAGATTGTAGTCCGGGCCACAAGCCCGGCAGCAGTCCAGCTGGTCCAGTCCGTAGGCTAGGACGGCCTCCATCAGCGCACCACAGGGCTCCACACTGGCCAGCAGGACACCCACACACTCATTCCCCGCTGTGAGGACCAGCTCAGAGAACTGGACCTGCTTGGCCGTGGTCACACAGGCCAGAACCCGGTTCAAAACCTGTGACACAAAGAACAGAGGGAGGGGGAGCGAGGGGGGGATTCAGACACGTCTAAAGCACTGCGATGGCTTTCACTTCATCGGGACGTCTAATCTAATCAGTGTGCACACAAATAAACAAATGGATTCATGCAAAATGAAAATACAAAGCAGTGGACAACGGGTTGTTTTTCCTTCATCTCCGCTGCATGGTGTATGTCAACGGAAGAGCCTGGCCAACATTCACTGACCATACGGTGGATGTGTTCATAAGGATTTATTATTAGGGTTCTTGGGCGTTTGAGTGGAGGAGGGAACACCACGTGGCGTTCTGTATGTTAAAGCTTTTTGGGAAATATGCACCAGTGTGAAATATCACGGCCGATAACAATGATCACAGGCTGATATGATGTTTACCCAATCCAGTCAATTCAACCATCAACACTGCTTTGCTCATTTTCAACACGAAATGAGTGGATGTACTTTAGTTATTATATTGACACCAAGAGCCACAACAAGCTGCTCCTTGCTGTGGCTCTTACATCGGTGACGTAGACCTCAGTGATGGGCGGTCCTCTGACGGGGCTGAATCGCTCCCCGATGCTGCGGACCACTGTGCTGAAGACCCTCAGCAGAGCTGCCAGCTTAGGCAGGGACACGGAGGGTGGGGGGATGTCCTCGTCCAGCACGTCGCCTGCCATCCCGTGGTTCAGATCCTAAGCACAACACCACACCAGTCTACACAGGTTCTGCTCACTGTCCTTTTTCACACCATCGCACAGAATTGACATTAGACAAAAGAAATATATTTTCCTACTTCTTCTCAGTTAAACCATTTGCTGTACATGAAATACACATTTACACACACCTAGAACACGCCATGACAGTGGATTATCACTGCACTCTAGAAGTGGATTAAGTTCACCTCTGCGTACGCCTCCATATCCTCCAAGAACTGCCCCAGGAGGGTGGTGGAGAAGGTGAGGTCTGCCACCCAGAACTGCTCCAGACTCTGCAACCAGCCTGAACACAGAGGCACAGAACAGCAATGGGATGCATTCAGGTACAGTGCTGGCGTGTAGTTAATCTGTGTTTTGGCATTGCCTGGCACACAGGAGAGAATAAACGTGTATCTATTACATGTGGACTCTTATGAAGAGGCCTATGATGTAAGATGTCTTTGTTTTCCCTTCAAGCAGCTTTATGAATAGCAGATGGGGCCTCAAAGCTGGAAATCAACATTGAACATCTTTGCCGCAAAGAAGAGCAGCTGACCTGAAACCTGTTGAGTGAGCGCCTGCTTCTGCGTGTGGTCGATGTGCCACCCCACCAAGATGTCCACCGTGTCCTGTGGAAGAGCAGCCAACCCCTCTGTCAGTTGATCCTGTGTGCCTCGCACTCACAACACCAGCCGCGGCTTCAACACTCACCCTGAAGTTGGTGCTGAAGACGTGTGGGTAGCAGCGGGCCACCTGAAGAATGCACTTGACACTTTGACAAAGCAGCTCTGGCGTGTCCACGTTCTCCAGGATGGATTGCAGGTTGCTCATCACCAGCTGAAACCGCAGCGGAGTCCTGATCAGCACCCACCATGTGCATGAGGCATCTCTATAAAGCGACCATGTAGAACCGTGCACACGATCTACAGAGGAACTATCGCCAAATGCCCCCCGGATCTTCCAATAAAGCAAGTTTGATATAGCAAACTCTATAGATGAATTTTCTATTTGTGAACATTACGTTTAGCATTCTACCAGAGAGTCGCTGGTTTCAGTGCTAATTTACAAATTCCTTGTGTGCAGGTGGTGAAGATGTGCAGTGAGGTGGGAAACAACGACTGATCATGCTTAATCACCATGGTAACTAGGGCTGTCAACGAATACATTCCATATTCAAATGCACACGCACACCTCCTGCAAACTCTGTTGCTTTGACAGAAGTTGCAGACTATGCATGTAGGCTGTAACAACAAGTAGTGTAGGGTGTGACATGTGTACTGCAGCTATGGGAGTGTGTGTTTTAGTACAACGTGGGATCTGTGGGAAACACTGGTATTGATTTTGCACACCATCTTTATGAGAAGTACAATCAGAAATAGGCGGCTTTACAGGACTATTGAGCACTACGGCCCCTGGGCATCGCCATCATGTTAGTACGCTGCACATTGGCTGTGAATGCAGTGAGACTACCTGCATGACGTGGGAGAACGCCTTTCTCTCTCCGGCGGCCTCCAGCGCGCACTGCGCTGCCACCAGGTACAACAGCTTGACCTCGTCCCGGCTGCTCGAGGTGAACTTGAGGAAGAGCCACTTGAAGATGCGCTCGGCCTCGTAGCCGAGCACCGTGCAGAGGAGCCCCAGACACGCGGCGGCGTCCTGCCGCAGCTCCCACAGCAGCTTACTGCTGCACACGCCGCCGGGGAGGAGACAGGGTGAGAGGCAGCCCGGCACATACTCAGACACAGGTGCATACATGATCTCCACCGGGGTGTCAAATATTAACTAGTCATTCTCAGAAGTATTACGCCATTCAAGAAGGGCACAGTGTTTGTGAATGTACCATCAGCATCCAGCATGGTCAATACAGAGCCTCCAGGCAGGAACTATTTAAAGCAGGTGCTAACAAGCCAAAGGAGATTAAAGCAGCCAGCAGTACTCATGCACCATGAAAGGGGTTTTGCAACAGAGCTTAGAGTGCATATAAAATCCAGTGATTGGCCTGTAATAATAAGTCATTCCCAATAAACCCGCCTACCTCTCATTCAAAATGTCGTTGAGGGTGCTGAGGATGGTGTCCAGCTGTTTGACCAGGGTCTGTGGAGGTCAAACACAACAGGAAAGGTTTACCTCATTCTCATTGTACAAGTAGTGCCCTTTTCATTGGAATCCGTTGTTACACAAATATACAAAAGGAGATTTCTTAAGAGCAGCAGATGCATGAAGGCCCCGATATTAAGATCAGAGTACTTGGTCTTGCGTTCAGAGATCTGCAAAGGGAAACCTGACAGCGGGGTTGGCAACCGGTTTCATGTAGCGTCCATACAACTGACGTTGCCCTTCGGCAGGCGGCAGGATGCAGGTTTACACCTCACCGCGTGTATTGACATGGAATCATGTTACTCACTTCACTACACAGTAGGTAGTGTAGAGTGAGTTTGTCTGGCAGGTGTTTCTGTACCGAGGAGGAGGGGACTGACCGTTTTGCTCTCGCCGTGGCTGATCAGGTCCTTCAGCTGCTTGAGGGTGGCCAGCCTGCGGTCGCGATCGTCCTCCCTGGAGACCCGGCGCAGGAGGTTGGCCAGCCGAGACTCCTCTGAGTGAGCCATCCCTCTGTCTGCAACAGCAGCACCACACGGCAGTCACACACGCGCTACAAGCTCATCACCAAAGAATGTGTCAAGAGAAAAGGAAACCGTCCTTTGTGTCGGTTGAGACAGCGTATTATTTTAAATGTATTGTGTAGTTTACTGATGTTGGACATAGAGGCAGTTAACAATGTCAAACTTAAGTTTAAGAAGAGTATTTTCAGTTAGTTCCCTTCACAACACAAATGGGATTAGTTCCCTTGTTCTCAGTGCATTTATTGTAATGAAAACCCTTTGTACCATAAGAAGTTGTTTTTGAAGAAAGCACTGGGAATAGTATTGAACTGGTTTCTTATATCAGATAATGGTCCTTAGTTGCAGACCCAGACACTCTTAAGGTCGGCTTGTATTCACAGCTGATTACAGTACGGCTCACTTACAGTACACCTGAGGATTTGTGTGCATGGTCCCTGCCAAATAAATGACTCAATTCAAAAAAGATGCAATGCTCTCATCTCCTCCGGCTGAAGCCTACCAGCACATGGAGCTCCACGTGAGGTGTCAGAGAGCTCACCCTGCAGTTTCCTCATGTCCTTGGAAGCTAAAGCACGGTTTCCATGCTGAAAAGGAGTCAAATCCGTCGTCACATCGTTGGTCCTCAACTCTTGCCCCACCGACTTCCAACCAAATGTAGTATCACTGACACCGTGACCAACGTCATATCCATCTGAGGGACAAAAACAGCTGACATTAAATAAATGTACTACGGCTTGACAGAGCAAGGAACAATTCAGTTATTGGATTTTTCCAATAGATTTCTGCTACAATTCTTACAATTGAACAGGGTACGATTAGGTTAGAAAAGCGCTACTAGTCACTCAAACAGTCCATGTGTGCTTAACATACAGCTACTACACCAGGAGAGGCAGACACGTTGTCCTAACGCTTCCAGCGATCATACCAACCATGTTTGGAAAGAAATGCATCCTCACCCTCTTCCTGGTGGTCATCTGCAGGCGCGTGGGCATCGCGGGGCTCCGCTGGCTGCTCGGGGTAGCTGCAGGGCAACACGTCATACGCCGCCGCTGAACCGAGCTCTCTGGACTTCACGCCGTCCGGGCTGGATGACACGCTGTCCACTCTGACATGGAAACACAGAAAGCAGATCCACATTTACATTTCTGATTCTCCATTATTTAATCCAAATTCAACGCAACCTGATATCCGTCAACGCAACTAAAGCAAAGAAACAGGTGTGAAATACGCAGCGTTTCATTTGAAACACGTTACTGCAATAATCTAAGCTTGTTCCGGTTCCCTGCCAACGGGGAAGTAACCAACGGAAAGGCTACTTCACAGACCACCACGAGCGGCAGGAGGTCCAGGTTCAACACACTGTAGTACACACACACACGGAGAGGAATAGATCAGCCATTGACCTGAATACCCAGAGGTCAGTCCTTTCACACACATGTTGGAGGCATGTGGCGCGCCGTACCTGCTCTAACCAAGCACTGCTGGGCCGTGAGCCGCCACGACTTCTTCTCCACGCCTCATTCTGCTGCACCAAAATGCATTATGGGAGGCTGGCTGTGGCTGCTTGGCCTTCAGTAGCTTTATTTTACATTTGAAGTGAATTATGTGCCAACATTCACTATTTAATGCCATATAGATAAAACGTTATGCAGAGGTCTGACCTGAGGGTGACACGGCGCCATAGATATGAGTGAACGCTGAAAAACAAGCGCTGCTACTATGAAGTAATACATGGAGCTATGGTTTACATCGTGTCCCCGACTAACACGCCATGAAACCAGCCGAATGAATGAGGAAATCAAACCGGAGAGAAGATGCCAGTTACCGTGGTAACAAGCAATTCTCTTACGTTCCCTCTCTTCCTGAAAGTAAAAGGCCTCAGTATTCCTGACCTCACAGGTCGCCGCAAACGCTCTAGCGCAGCGGGTAGGGGCGTGGCTTATCACCCTGAAAACAGTTCACCTCTCCACCCTGGTTTTTCCTCTGCACCACCTAACGCCGTCGTGTTTCGGTACTCAATAGTATCCATAGGCTGCGACAGCTCGTCTGGATGACTGATTCCCCGTTACACTGTTTGAGAGCTTATTGGCTCCAACTGTACTTCTGTGCCGAGGGAACGGCCCCGTGGTGAGACACCGTGTGCTCCATCACATCCAGACGGCGCTTTTAAGAGCCATCCACACGTTGTTATTGTGTGGTTAAATAATACACACTGTAATGTGCTGCATCCGGGTATGATGGGTTGTATCCGGCGCTACAGGTGCCAGGTCTTTCCTGGGGCTCAGAGGATGTATCCTACAGGGTTACTACTCATTCATGCTCCATTTTTCCTGATGCGGTGACTGTCTGCAGGACGTCAGTGACCACGGGGAGCACGATGAGCTCTGCAGCACAAGTACAAAAAAAAAAATTCAACTTCCAACTGGTGTGTGGTTTGACACTTTGCGTGTCCCTCCAGTCTCATCGCTCTGTGCAGACTGATGAAAGCCCTTTGTGGTAAACACAGAACGAAGGTTCACTAAAGTGGCTTTCTGGTTGTACGAACGTTCAATAAGTCAAACAATACAGCAGTCATTTTTACTGCAAACAGGTAACCCACCATACAAGCATGTTGAGACACCATGTGCACTCTAAATAATAATAATAACAACAATGAGTAGGGTCGGTTTGCCCCAGAAACCTCTGGATGTGGTTAGATTCCGGGCCAGAAGCCTCTTAACCTCTGTAAGGTGCATTAGGAGGATCGGGGGCATCGGGGGCTCTGGAGCGGAACCGGAGGTCACTAAACATGAGGTGAGGCAACACATGTGATGCTAACTCAGGAATACAGCGCCTCAAAATGAGTTCATTTCAGCAGTCGTTCGTTATTCGGTAGCTCAACACGTTGACAGATCAGCAGTCACGCGTGTATTATGGACACGCTTTTTACACAACTAATAACGTTATAGGCGGAAGTTCATAAGGGTGACTTGTCCCGGCTAAGTGAACCAGCGCCTATAGCATCATGGTGATGCTAACTAGCTAAAGACAGCCACTCATGACCAGCCCGATTCCCCCGTTTAAATCACTCACGTGAGCCGGCATTGCGGCTCGAAGATGTCTCGGTTGTTTTCCTTGCCGTCAATTCGCGTTCACGGTAACCGGGAGGCTGGAACGTGGAGCCGATCGATGCCCCTCAAGCCGAACGAGCTAACGTTAGCTCAGCAGCGTAGTGGCTTAATGTCAGTAACGTCACACACCGCGAGACAGGCTACCGATAAATCACGCGGTAGAAGACATTATGGCAATGTGGAGAATGCAAATAATACCGCGAAGAGACCAGTTATTTCTCCTCCACGACGTGAGGGAGAAACACAACACAGGCCCAACGAGTCCCCGCGTTCATTGTGAGGAGCTCCCTCCCGAGCAGAGCACCAACCTGGGCTGCCAGTCATTCCAGTGTGGCTGCAGTTTGTGGGCGCCGCTGAGCCGAGACCCCGAGGCTTTACGGCTCATTACCCTTTAGAGAGCTGCATGACACGCTGGCCGCGGTAACCGTGTCGCTGCTCGGGCTTACTTTTCACTAATGTTCGTCAAGTGTCTCAATTATTAGGTTAGCAACTCGTCGTTAAGGCTAGCAAATGGTTGTGTTGCCTCTTCTTCTACAACGGTTAGCGGCGGTTGGCGTCACTTTACTGCCATCTTCTGGAGTCAACCTCACGCGGCCTTTTTCTCCTCTTCTTCTTTGGTGTTCATTGGTGTTGGCAAACAGCGAATTGCCATTACCGCCACCAGCGGGCCGGAGGGGGCGGACATTCCTCTTGTTCTTCCTAAAGGCCGGCGCGTGCTTCTGCGTCTGCGTCGTTGCGTCGACGCACTCGTTTCAATTCATGGTTCTAAAAGTCCTGCGTGTGTTGCAGAGCGATTCACCTCCAGAACAACAGGCGGAGTGGCGCGTTTTGTTGAAGACGACCTAGAGAGTCACGTCTATTTATTTATTTGTTTATTTATTGATCATAGACTTTATTGCCCCGTGCATCGCCACTGCTGCTTTTCATCGTGGAGACATTTGTCCCGTATTTTCCTCCACAACTTTGTTCCTCTCGACCCGCAAACCGGCGTTTGCGGCGATCTCCCTCCGTGAATCCAACCCGCTTCTACAAGCCGCCAATGACGGCGCTCATATTTACGCATTTCTTCCAACAAAAGTTCTTCAATCTGATCCCTTCTCTCGTAAACATCCTTTGTTTTAATAATGGCGGTATCAGGCTATGAAAGCGGAAATGTGAGACTCCGTAAAGGACGTAGTTAGCGGACCATTCGCAGCCTGGTGCGCTCGCAAGCCTAGATAAATGACACACGCAAGGAGGTGTGAAAAGCGACACAAGGGACACGCAAGGGACACGCAAAGGGACACGCAAGGGGGGCTTGCATCTGCATCACTCTGAAAACGCAGAAGCATAAACTAAACGAAAGTTTAGCCGTCCGTGGCCGTGACAAACCCACACACACCTATGGGCAATTTAAAGTGAGCGTAACCCCTTCAAGGGACGGACTGCATTCGACAGAGGTCCAGCTAGTTGGTGGCGGCAGTGTCACAAATAGTGACATGGAGATCACCTGAGAGCAGTGGATGTGTGTCAAGTGATTGTAGAATAAAAACACCTGTGCCTGACAGCTCCCGTCTCTAAGGATGTATAACTGCATGTTGGATTTCTCGTCTAATTGATCATTCAAGGAAAACGTTGGAGATAAGCAGAGTATTGTTGTGTTCAAAAATGAAGAAACGCCGGACGGACAGAGGTCATCGCAGATCAAAAGGTTAAATCAAATGTATTTAATAAAAGAGATGGTGTCGTGGTAAAAAGAACATCTCAGCTGAGGAGCCGCTGGTCTCAGCGACCAACAGGCCCCAGGTCAGTCCTTTGACCATCCCTAGTGCCCGTCTGTCGTCTCCATCAGCGAACTCCAGAACAATGGTTCCTACAGGTATTTATACCAATGCTTAAAGGTGTGAAAGTCAGTGTCCACACCTCTGGGAGTCTTCTGGTGAGTTCAATGTAACTCGGATTTCGAATGATCCTTAGTCAATATCAGTTGTGCAAGTATTACATGCATGCATTCCAGTTGATTACATTACATCAAATACAATCATGCATTGGTATTATTCTATTATTCTATTACAGTTGCAGAATTACAGTGGTTTTACAATATTGTCATTACTTAATTGATTACAGTTTCAAAATCATGGCTGTATTCTGGTGTACACTATATGCATTTTTATTAATTTCATGAACCGGGTCGTATATTGTTTCTAATATCCTACAGTATGAATATCGGTTTGCATGTTCACTTTATTTTAAACTTTTTATTTTTAATGTTTACTCTATATCCCCCTAGCCCATAGCTTTCTATTTCATACTGCATATTTAAATTGTAAATTTGGAAGTTGAACATGTCATTTTACTTGCACTGCTATTTGTCTTGTTGTCCATTGTCTCACTGTCCAATTTTATGCACCAACCACCACTTAAAATTACTTATATGTCTAACATTTGGGCAATAAATGGTCATAAGTCCTGATTACTCGATGCCGTGTCAGAAGAATTCACTGTTGTAAATGGGACCCCTCAAGGGAGTGTTTCCCTTCTGCAGTCCAACATCCCATTCGTCCTTTCCAAATAGAGTGATGACGCCCAACGTGGGGCTCGAACCCACGACCCTGAGATTAAGAGTCTCATGCTCTACCGACTGAGCTAGCCGGGCACTCTGACGTTTCCCATCGTGGACGGACCCAACCCATTTCTTCTGAAATACTGCAATTCTCTCTGGCACTACAGCATAGTTTCTCTTGACTGTTCATTTTCGTTATTTGCTCTTATTACATGAATAAGAAAGCCGAAAATATGAAAGGAGGGACTTAAAAAGGTCAATTTTTACCCGAATAAAAAAACGAAAGGTAGCTAAAACTAATAACTTGGTATTTACACTGGAAGGAAATTTTGTGGCGGACAAGATTCTTTTTGAACTTCATTAGTTTCGTCTTCCATATGTAGGTACCTACTTTTATACAAGCATAAGAAGTTTTTAAGAATCGTGACCCGTTTTCATGTGGCGTGAAGTTATTGGATTAAACTGGTTAGCAACTAGCGTCACAAAAAGTTCTCAAAATATCCATGAAATCCTCCGAATTTAAAAGTGGGCCTGCACATACTTTGCAAGAACAAGGATTATGTGAAGGCACATAGAGAATGGATTTCTGTTCTGTTATTGGATTAAACTGGTTAGCAACTAGCGTCACAAAAAGTTCTCAAAATATCCATGAAATCCTCCGAATTTAAAAGTGGGCCTGCACATACTTTGCAAGAACAAGGATTATGTGAAGGCACATAGAGAATGCATTTTGATGTTTTCCTTCAGCAGTCCAACATCCCATTCGTCCTTTCCAAATAGAGTGATGACGCCCAACGTGGGGCTCGAACCCACGACCCTGAGATTAAGAGTCTCATGCTCTACCGACTGAGCTAGCCGGGCACGCTGACGTTTCCCATCGTGGACGGACCCAACCCATTTCTTCTGAAACACTGCAATTCTCTCTGGCACTACAGCATAGTTTCTCTTGACTGTTCATTTTCGTTATTTGCTCTTATTACATGAATAAGAAAGCCGAAAATATGAAAGGAGGGACTTAAAAAGGTCAATTTTTACCCGAATAAAAAAACGAAAGGTAGCTAAAACTAATAACTTGGTATTTACACTGGAAGGAAATTTTGTGGCGGACAAGATTCTTTTTGAACTTCATTAGTTTCGTCTTCCATATGTAGGTACCTACTTTCATACAAGCATAAGAAGTTTTTAAGAATCGTGACCCGTTTTCATGTGGCGTGAAGTTATTGGATTAAACTGGTTAGCAACTAGCGTCACAAAAAGTTCTCAAAATATCCATGAAACCCTCCGAATTTAAAAGTGGGCCTGCACATACTTTGCAAGAACAAGGATTATGTGAAGGCACATAGAGAATGGATTTTGATGTTTTCCTTCAGCAGTCCAACATCCCATTCGTCCTTTCCAAATAGAGTGAAGACGCCCAACGT